AGCCATGCCTCATATGCCTTGAACGCGGTGAGTGCCTCACTTTTGAGCTTCAAAAATTGAAGTTTTGTCTGATGACTATAGTCATCAGTAAAGCTGATATAGTATAGGCATCCCCTAAACTCACAGTTTGCACTGGCCCCCAGAGATTCGTATGCACCAACTCTCTGTATCTGAGTGCACGTCTTGTACTTTCGTCTGGGAAGGGCTTTCGGGCTGACTTCGCTTTGACGCAGACATCACAGAACTCCGGCTTCAAGTTAGTGTCAATTTCAATGCCCCTGATCAGGTCCTTTTTCACCGCGTCCATGATGGCGGTTTGGGATACATGTCCGAGGATGTGATGCGCCTTGTTGACAGTGAGCCTTGTGGTTGCAACATTGGTGTGATGTCTCTGACGACTTGCCACCACACTATATAGACCCTCGACTTGAGGAATCTCTGCTATGACGCAGCATGGGGGCCCTTTTGACAGGATCTTGCACATCCGGCCTTCAAACAGGACAGCAAGGCCACCTGCCGTGATGTGATTAGTGGAGATGAGGGTAAAAGCCATGGTAGGCATGTATAGCACATTCTTCAGTGTTACTGTCATGCACTTCTCACTGAGTGGTAGGTCGATCTGGACATTGCCTCATCCAATCGCGCTGAGAGTCGAACTATCTGCAGTATGGACATCTTGGGGAGGAATGGTAACGAAGTTGGTGAACTTTGATCAATCTGGGCAGAAATGCGATGTTGCACCCGAATCCATGATTGCGCCTCTCTTCTCAATAGGTAAGCCCAGGTCTCTCACTACACTCGCTAAGTCTGACGTGACAAAAGTGTATTGATCTTGGGACTTGGCTTCTGCTGCAGAGTTAGCCGCTTGCTTCTGTGTCTTTTCACCTCTCTTCCTCTGCTGGTTTGGACCTTGCCCTTCTTTTCCCCCTCCAGGTCTCCAACAGTCCATCTTGTAATGGCCCTTTCAGTCGTAGTTAAAACAGGTAACGTCTGGGTTGGTCTTATTGGTGGAGGATGGTGAAGTCCGGCCTTTGCCTCTCGTCTCCTTTGCAGCAAGAGCTGCACTAGCTCCCTTCTTGCCAGGACGTCATTCAGTGAGCTGTCTGTGTTCGTACTCCTCAGTTATGATGGTGACTAGCTCATAGGAGGTGATGGGAGTTTTGGTGATCTTTGAGGCAGCTGTGATGGATGACAGGAGTGGGTGATATGATTTGGGGAGGGAACCAAGGATGATCTGCATCGGCAATCGTGATGCCCATGCCTGCAAGCAGTTCGTGGAGCCTCATGAGCTCAGCAAAGTGAGATCCGACATCTCCTCCCTCATTGCACTTCATCTCTTGCATCTGTTGACGTAAGTCTATCTGGACCAGCTCTGTCTTCCCCTCATGGATTTGACATATCTCTTCCCAGATCCTCAATGTGTCCTTCAGCTTCTGGATGTGCAGTAATAGCCAATCAGACATTGTGCTAAATGTCTGCTGCTTTAGTAGCGAGTTTTTCTGATGGTACTCGTCAATCTGCTTATCGAGTTCATCATAGTCTGCCTGTGTAGGTGTCGTCCTGTCCAGCTTCACGATAGCCTTTGTTTTCGGGTCAATCGTGAAGGGTTTCAGCTCACTTGCTCGACCGTCAGTATACCACATCAGACCTCTAGCACCAATAGCTGTTAATGTCTGTTCCTTATAGGTTATCCAGTTCGAGCTGTCTTTGGCAAGCTTCAAGACATTAAGCAGGGTTGTGTTGGAGCTAGGGAGCGAAGTATCCACGGTCGAGACAGGGCTCATAACCTGTGGTGAGTAATAAATCACAGGCCTTTGGGGACGATCTAATAGACAAGTATAATCTCAGTCTCTTGAAAGAAGCTCGTCTAACGAGCCATGTACCTAATAGACAAGTATACTAGGGACTCGTTAGTTGCATTCTAATTGATAAGTAGAGACTATTAACTCAAGTTAAAATATGTAAGTAGGTCAAGACTGTCATCCCTTAACCGTTACACCAAAAGGCAGTGATAATGAAAGCTCATGTTTCATTATCTTGGACAGTATTTATGCTGATTATGGGAACTCAGGTAAGCCACCAGGCTTACACTCTCCCATTTTTCAGATCTTTTTTTTTATCCCCCCACCAGTGCTGGTTCCCAATCACATGGCACTGTGGTTTGGTGTGGGAATTTGATCTGAAATGGGAGGCACAAACGGCCGCCCCAAGGGCAAACCTTGAAATTTGCCCTGGAGCGGGTTGGAACGCCCGACCTCCTGCAAACCTTGAGCTTTCATTATCACTGCCTTTTGGTGTAATGGTTAAGGGACAACAGTCTTGACCTACTTACATATAATGAAAGCTCAAGGTTTGCAGGAGGTCAGGTGTTCCAACCCACTCTGGGGCAAATTTCAAGGTTCACCCTTGGGGCGGTCGTTTGTGCCTCCCGTTTCGGATCAAATTCCCACACCAAACCACAGTGCCATGTGATTGGGAACCAGCACTGGTGGGGGGATAAAAAAGATCTGAAAATGTGGGAGAGTGTAAGCCTGGTGGCTTACCTGAGTTCCCATAATCAGCATAAAGATAATGAAACATGAGCTTTCATTCTCAGTCTCTTGAAAGAAGCTGAGATGCGCTCATGCTACTGCTGGCGTTCTTATAGTAAACTGGATAGTAATGAAAAATATATCAAACAAATAGGTAGGTTATTGCAGGACATGAGCCGACATCAACATGTTGCTTGTCAATGTCCATTTTGGCTTGGGCTCGGACCACCTGTCACTCTCCCTCCTCAACCATTTAGGATCGGTTGGTCTTCTTCGACTCTGATTGCTCAGATCGTTCGGACTCCAACACTACTAGCTACACACTTGCAAGTACTGTAGAGATACGACACTAGGTTCGTCACAGGTCACAGCCCTTGATGAATCAAATCTATTTGGTGTGACCGTCACATGGATTTTGGCGGGACGAAGCTAATTTGTGACATATGGAAAAAAAACATAAGAAAAAACATAGGTTGTGCACTAATAGGACCAGAAATCATCATACATTGAATTTGCGATGTGTCTACACTTTCCACGCCCATACTCAACCTTCAGAACACTGTTCGAGCCACCTTCCACATCTTCAGCAGCAATGTCACCCACATCATAGACTTCGGAGTGGTTTGCACACGAAAGTCCACCATCTGCATTGATACGGCAGTCAGAACGGACGTGTTCACCCCTGGAAGCCATATGGTCAAGAAGTGCATCCATTGGCACGTCACTGGGATTCAACTCCGATAGCATTAGTGGCCTCGTCCTCTGACTCGGAGTCTGTTGCCTGGTCGACGCTGTCAGTCTTGTACTGAGCAGTAGCAATCCTCGCCCATCCAGCTAGATCGTTCTTCTGAACATCGCGTAAATATTGCAATGCCTCCCGACTTGTGAGACTCGCAAACGAGAGATTGAACTTCTCCCCGGCCTTACACTGGAGTCTCCAAGTCCACTCGTTACCATTCAGCGCTATGCAAGGTGAATCCATGACAAGCTGAAGCAAGTTGCTGCAATCACGAAGCAGCATGTCAGAATGACAGGCACTTGAAAATGGATCATAGACTCACCTGGCAGGCTTTAAGACCACGGAGTCTCCAAGTCCACTCATTACCATTCAGAGCTATGTGAGGCGAATCCATGACAAGCTGAAGCAAGTTGCTGCAATCACAAAGCAGCATGTCCGATGGTCACTGTTCACCCGCGGGCAAATCTATTTGGGTATGGTCACAGGTCGCATGGACATTCGAACCTGTGACACTGAGTGTGACGTAGTCACAGGCTGCACATGACGAACCTAGTGTCGTATCTCTACAGTACTGCGGGTAGCAGGTGTACCTGTCATACCTGCTACCTGTACATGACCCTTACAGTGACCTGCACCCCTCAGTACCCTTGGGTATAAGGGTATGGGTAGTTGACGGGTACAGGTGTGGGTTAGGGTCATCACACCTGCAGGTTTACCCCTGTCGAACCCTAGTTCTGACTTGAATTGGAGATTTGGTGTTTGTCTGGCTTGCAGGGTGGAGTTGCTGATATGATGAACAAGCTGATGTGTTGTAGTCTCCCAGCCAGACCTATATATATAAGGAGGAGGACAGACATTCCTTCTTTAAGTAGATGCAACACGACTTGGTCATGACAAGGCACTTTGTGACCATTTAATTGTTGCCATTACACGTGATCCCAGAGGTGTCTGGGGACATCACGGCTTGACTAAGCAGGAGGAGACCAAACAACGAGTTGATCAGTCCTTGTTGCAGTAGTCCTCGTATATACTACCACAAGTCGGGCGTTATGCTGAGCCATATCTTCAGCGTGCACGCATCTGAGCTGCTCATCATCGAAGTTATCACGATGGACTTGCTGCTTAAGGACCTTGCGACTCGGCTCCAGCCATTTCTGCAAATCAACAAAAGCCTCTGGTAAAATTCCGGCAGTAGCAAAGTCTAAACATGGAGCATGCAGGTGCCTGAACACCATGGCAGTACGCTGCTATCAGCTGCATTTGGTACCACGACTGGTGGACAACTATCACACTAGCTGCTTGGGTGATTGATTTTCACCTGTTCGTCACCCATCACCCGTTCGTTGATGCGATACCAGCTTCAAGTTGTGGATGGGTGATTATTCTGGAGGTACTAAAAACCCGGTACGTTGGTGATTCGATTTCACTACTTGATCACCTTGCACCTGCTCGCCACCACTCTTGTGGGTGTTTTGCACCTACCCCAACAGGTTATTCGAACCTCCTTCCAGTTTCAAAGTGGGTGTCGTTTTTATTTGTACAAAATATTTTCATCGTCTTATCCGAATCCTCGGTCTGGGGGTACCTTAACTATTCTTAGTACATACCAAACTGCGCATCATCAGTATGCCCTGCCAGCTGGTCCGGGTTCGTCGGAGAATTGAACGCTGAACAACTGTACCACGGCCATCAGGACAGCTATTCAGCTAGAGTAGTCGATGATGCTTTGGATGCTTGTTGGATGTCACCTTGTCTTATGGTCACTAGCAGCGCAAGTCCCCTTGGGCTTCTCACCTGATGGCAAGCAGGAGTCACCGGAACTCGGATCTCTATCTAGGACAACTGGATCATATAACTCAGCTAGCCCTCTGGACTCGGGTAGCCTCGACACGACACCTTGGCAGCTTGATGAGCTACCTCCTGCTAATGCAACTGGGCACTTTGTGTTTGAAACTGTAAATTCGTTGCTCCAGCATTGGCCAAACACGCGCTATCGGAATGGTCAGTCTTATCCTGATCTTGGGACGAGTATCTGATACGGTGTTATCACTGACCACCAGGCCATGCAATTGTTCCGGGTGTCATTCCAAAAGGCACCTTATTGTATCATGGAGCTTTCAGCGACGAAATTCCTACGGTTCCTGAGTGGACGGCCACAGATCCGGAACACTCTGTCCTCTTCTGCCGAGGCTTGTCCGATACAGGATGTTGGCATTTGACGCTTGCAGCAACACGTCCCCTCAAAGTCCTTTATTTTGACGGGACCAGCGCAGCCAATACCAGAGATGGTACTCTCGACACTCAGGATATCATTGCATGGGGAGAGTTGAGACCCGACTGGTGGTTGAACGAGGTACAGCGCCTCGAAGATTTGTGCAAATGGGGTGCACCGTACGCTGTTGATGGTTATGTTCGGTAGGCCAATATGCCTAGTATCATCTCGTTATAGTATCGAACTTTTTTTTACAGAATGGAAATGGATTTGTATGTTCTTAATTGTCGCATAGTGCTCTTCAACTGATAGTGATGGATCCGCATAAGTGAAGTCATGCTCTGTGATTTTACGGCTGGCGTAGAAGTTGTCTCCTGGTCTAACCTTGCCAGCCTTGTCATACCGGTTTCTATAATCCCAGGAATTCCAAATACATACAGCAAGTCTCTATGTTTCCGTCTTCCTCGTGTCTTTCTGATGTATATATCTAGTGAATCGCATGTTCGAAGTGATGCACGCCGGGTCATGGCACAATCGATACCCTGGGGATACACGAATTAACCTTGATTTGGCTGGAATCGTCTCGCTGTACGACACAACCATCGCACCATCACTCGTTGATTCACGCGCCGGCCAGGAGCGGTGCGACCACCGCGTACAAGGCATATCTTCCGTAGATTTGAAGGTGGTGAGGCAGAGCGTCTCTCGCGCCTTAGAGCGGCATCAGGGCGACTTTAGTGGCATCGACTGGAAAACTCTTTTCAGAGTCATCGTGGAACGTTACTCAGACCGCCTTGACTTGATGGACTACCTTCTCAATCACACCTCGGAAAATGACACGCCTTGGGACCAAGCAAGCAAGGTGCATGTCCAGCTGCGCGTGATGCTCACGCCATACATTTTCCACACTAGTGTTCCCCCCAGCGCATCCTATGACTCAGCTCATTCCTGGGCGACACCAGTGTTCAAAGCATGCGGGACTGTGCACACATCGTCCATCGCATCATATAGTTCAAGCTTGAACCATTCCGAACGCCTACTGTTGAATGCAGTACAAGAAACTACACGCGAGATATGTCGCATTATCACAAAGATGTGGGCTGCTGGCGTCGTTGCAGGTCTTGATCCATATCTTCCCCGTGATTCCCCTTCAGACGCCGCAGAAATTGCCCGCCTGATAGATACGTGGAGGCAAGAAATAAGTGATTTGATGGCTTGGCTTGATTGGAGCGTGTGGGTTAGGTGTCATCCAGCTTGCGGGCCTGAGGTAAACGTCTTGACATCATCCACTGCCTGCATTTTACCTGCGTTTCCTTTAGGAAATGTGCTACCTTCCCACTTGGCCCATAAACGAGCCGAGAGGTCGGAGGCCAGACCGTCCTCCATATAAACAACATGATACTATCAATGCGTCCTTCCCAGACAGACTATCTGTCAAGAACGGATTCCTTATGCAGCTGGCGGGTTCGCAGGATGATGAATGGAGGAAGCCCCAGCCCAAGTGCATTAGGCGAGTTGAGCCATATGGTTTCTAGGTTTTCATCGGAAGCGAGTACTTGACAGCATCCTTCCAGTAGGACTGGAGACCTCTTTCTTACTGAAATATAGATGTTTTGGACACCGTATGCGACGTACTACTACCCACATGTCTTTTCTTTTGCCCAGGTTTAGATGGGATGCAGCCTTGTGTCAATGATCTAGGATTATAGAAGACCATGTACGCATACTTCGTGGAGATTCTCCACCATCAACAATCATACAGACCGGCCCTGTGTATCAATACCAACATACACAGCCGACAAGGGTTCTCAGACTTTCTGTTCTCCTACTAGGGGGAGTAATGCTACTAGATGCATACATCGCTCGACTGCTTATGCATCACCCATTCATCCATGCATTTCTCGGATTCTCTCTCGTGTCAGTGCTGCGTCTGTCCCGACGCCCGACATGTGACATGGTGCCGTCTGTCCGATGCGCGATTGTATTGCATCTCCCCTTGTACCTGCATGAGTAGCACCTCATACACCTCCGCTCAATGTCGGTCGTACTTTTTTCGCCAGCTTTAAGTTTTTTACATTCTTTCGTGCTTTCGTCATCAACTCCAATTCTTAGCACTCGCCACGATTCGACGCAACGCAGGGATGGTGATGAGTTTTGGGCAAACGGTATCCCAGCTGGGATATCTGCTACACCCTGCCTTGTATGGCAGCTTCTAGGAGGAAGGGATAATTATTTATGTGCTTTTGGAATTCGTCAGAAAACCACAGCGCGTGACGAAGATGTGGTATAAACCCCCGCAAATGCCTTCTTCAAGCGCAAGTTAATTCAAATAAGTGGACGTGACAGAATCGGCGATTTTCTCCCCGCTGGTGGAAAACGCGGACCGTAGGCGAGCCCTCCTGATATTCAAGCTTATCTGCTGGTCCCGTTTTTTCTCGTCAACCAATTGCACAATACATAAATTTAGGTGAAAGACACACCAACACATACCGGTGGTTCCTATGCCTTTATATAAGAGACCCCTGACCTCTCCTGACCCTGTCTGAACTCGAGCTGCCCACCCACACAGCCATGTCGCTCACGGTGAGTCGTAAACACTTTGAATATGGACATGACAGCTGAAACATTCAAGGTCGAATCCATCACTGCCCAGGAGGAAGCATGCCGCCTCCCCTCGTTCGACAGTAATGTGGCCTGGGAGATCGGAAATATCATCCGCACCAACGTCCAACAAAAGTTCACGCGCCCCGCCGTCGTCTACATCGCACATGCGAACTCATCCCAGCTCTTCTTCTTCGCCACTTCAGGACCTGGCACACTCCCGGACAACATGCACTGGGTGAAGCGCAAGGAAGCAGTAGTGCTCCGCTGGGGATGCTCGACGATGGGGATGAGATTGTCTCTGCAGACCCGGGGAATGACGCTACAGGAAAAGTTTGAAATGAGCGACCCGAGCATATATGCGGTGCATGGCGGCGGTTTCCCAGTGAAGGTGAAGGGTGTGGAGGGGGTCATCGGTGTGATAGTGGTTAGTGGTCTTGCGCAGGAGGATGACCATGGCGTCATTGTGGATGGTATCAAAGAATACCTTGCGAAGAATCCTTGAGCAATCGGTCCGTAAGTCGTACGTCACTGACAAATACATCGCATTGACAAGGCGTTTACTCAGAATCAAGGGGAAATATTAAGGCGGTGTAATTGTGTTTATTTCTAACCTGAATGCAAAAGAATAAGTTTGATGCGTTCATGAACAGCTTTCCTCATCAGAGTTCTGGGGTCTGTGGCAGCTAAATAATGATTGGACTCGTCTCCAAAGTGCATAGCGATCTTGCGTCCACCTCGATGATGCATTGCGATCAGAGCGGAAGCTCGATGTCTTCATAGATGATCTGTGTCTCGGTTGGGGTTCAACCATGACAGTATCCTGCACATGGAATAATTCAACAAGGCTCTAAAATCTTCACATGATCGAACTTACGTGTGCGATGGAGATCACTGGGTCTGCTGTGTCAGCAGGCAACATTTGATCTTTTCCCGACAATTGCCCGTCGTTGACATTATCATTTGGAGTATGATCTGCAAGAGTCGCCTCTAGGACCGAATTTTGTTCGGCGTCATCCATCTCTCTCGGGCTCGGAGGAAAATCACCTCCTGGAGGTAAATCGGAGATGGGGGACACTAACACTTCGTCGTGGTTAGCGCTTGTGCTGTTGATGGAAGAGAGGCTGCCATCCTCAAAAGTATGAAGCGAGACCAAATAAGACGACCCGTCTGAAAACGAGTGACAGTCAAAAATGCTGAGATGTCGTCGCCCCTGGTGCACGTTCAACATACATATTCGTTAGGTAGACAGGAGATCAGACCTTGCCGCAGAATGATCCGAGCTCTACGTTGGAGAGATTTGGTGCCGCAATGAGCTCACCAACATCCTCGATAAAGGGCTCCTCGGGATGAATTAAGGGTAATTGGTCGGCGATAGGAAGTGAGTCTATCAGCTGAAGCTTCAATGTCACGCTAGCCTGGTATATGCGAGGGGCACCATTCCGCCCTTGTACGTGCACATGCCTCAAAATATGTGAGACGACTAGAAAAATGTTAGCAAATTTTCTGATGACTTATAAAAGCTGCAGGACCTTTTGTTTGTGTTGATGTAGGTAGCTGCATCCAGTCACCAGATGACGCAAGGAGCACATCCTTGCAGAAAGCACGTTTTGCTAATAAGTGGATGCATATAGGCCAGTCCTCTCTCACTGAACTATTGAGAAGGCGGCTGTTGAGATATAACCATTCGCACGATAGGAAACGTCTTACAATTCAAATGACTCATTCCAGGCGTACTTTCCACGGTCGGACACACGAGTTCGCTGGCGAACATTATCGACGCTGACCTCCACGTAGCATCTATAAGGCCCAGGCGGGCACTCTGGATCGTCTGGTACTATCGAGACACTGATATCTGTGGATAACGATCATCGGTGAGCATCCTGCGGCGTAGATCATTGTAATTCACTTGCCAGAAACCTGGACGTGGTAATAGAGTTTCCGCCTTCCTCCATACGATCGCGTTGGGAGATAATCCATTCAAAGCCAGCAGCAGAAACTGACTGAGCACGAGGGCAGCGTAGTTTTAAGAGAAGGGGGAGCCATTTTGTCAGACGCCATGTCCGGCGCTGATGCACAGCAACGGTTTGATGTCTTCCCATGGTTGTAAGTAGAACAAATGCTGTTAGCCTACAAGCTGTCCGTACAACGTCGGAAAGTCATCATGATTCAAACTCGTCTTCAACAGGATCAAGTTGATGCTTCTTACTGGCAGAACGTATACGTAGGACAACGTTGTGAGAAGCTTCATCGGAGAAAAAGCGCCTCGACTAACAGAGACAGCCCTAATGAGATACTGCACAAATATGCATCAACACAACGCGCGTCCGTGGTGCACGCGGTATGAAGGACATTCCTTAGCCTAAACTTTAGCACTTGCCCTTGTACAGATCATGGTGGCATCAACAAGTGAGCAAGTGAGTTGTCACACTACGGTCACTGATTATCATGATATTCATTCAAATTACAGTTAACAGCGCTTGCTGGAACGACAGTTGGTGAGCAACCACCTGGATCGAATGCCCCCACATAGAATTAACACCTTCAGTCGTTCATCCTTTGGTCCTGCTCTCCGTTACTGATCATCATGCGCGCACCGTCTCGCGCACTTCATCAAAGCGTGTTGTTGGCGTTCTCCTGGGTCAGGACAACGGCAAGACTGTTAATGTTGCCAATTCCTTCGGGATCCCGTTCGAGGAGGATGAAAGAGATAGCAAGACGTGGTTCCTAGATCATAACTATATTGAAGGGATGTACGATATGTTCAAGAAAGTCAACGGTACGTTCCTCATCACACGAGCAATAAACATAGATGCTGAGTGAGATTGCAGCAAAGGAGCGGATGATTGGATGGTACCACACGGGACCAAAGCTACGAGCCTCGGACCAGGAAATTAACGACCTCTTTAAGCGTTACATTGCGAAACCAGTGATGGTTATCGTTGATGTACGACCGCAGGCTGTTGGAATTCCAACGGATGCATACTTTGCAGTAGAAGAGATCAAAGACGTATGCCTTTCCTCCTTTGTAATATATATTTGTACCGATTTTTATGGCTTCAGGATGGCACGGAAACACGGAAGACATTCCTTCACGTTCCTTCTGCAATAGAAGCTGAGGAAGCTGAGGAAATTGGAGTCGAACATCTCCTGCGCGACATCAAAGACTCAACGACCACAACTCTCTCAACACGTGTTTCTGAGCAACTCGCATCACTCCAAGGACTTCAATCCCGACTACAAGACGTGCACAAGTATCTCCTGGATGTTGCATCAGGCACGATGCCAGTCAATCACCAAATAATTTACCACCTGCAAGACGCACTCAACCTACTTCCTGACTTGAGCAATCCGGTGACAACACAGAGCTTCGCGTCAAGCACGAATGATCAACTACTAGTTGTCTATTTGAGCAGTCTGCTACGTGCTGTCATCGCGTTGCATGCTCTAGTGGACAACAAAGCCACGATAGGGCGAGCCGAGCAAGAAGAAGGCGGTGATGAGAAGGACAAGGATAAAAAGACGGCTAACGGAGACGCGAAAAAGTCAGAGGATACCAAGAAGGATGGGGAGAAGGGAAAGGACTCCAGTAAAAAGGACGCAGACAAAGGACTATGATGGAGGCAGGTCGCCGTATGTTCAGTACTTATCGTGGCTATCGATCGCATCATTCATCGACCGGCTTGCTGCGCAAAGACGAGCTTGGCTACTTACATAGTTCTCCCCGAAATGGATGAACATGTGATGAGCACGTGCCCGATGAAGTGCCGTGTGATTATGGAAGCACTTCTTTTTTCTTTCTCCACCTTGAGGCTTTTTTTGTGTTCCTCCTCTCTTCACTCCACTCCACAATCTTTCAGAAAAGTACGTCGATTTTTTGACTAGGATATTCACCTTTGTCCAATCCACTTTTTGCGTTGAGACCGTCAACGGCTGCGTGAATCGTGCACGGACCCCTAACCATGATTTTTAGGATCTCTTCTCAATATGTCTGGCGCTCGTGGATGTTTTAACTGTGGAGGCTGTGCGTGGTGTTTCCGTGTTGTCTGTTCCCCAGCTTTTGAGCAATTCCTCGTCGATATGGCGAATGAAATGCCCTACAGCCATTGCTATTTGCTTCTTCCTTATTTACATCTTCGAAATTCGTGTGCGGTGCTGACGAGGATCGCTATGTTCTTTTCTCATATATACCGATGACGCATGTTATCGTCGACGACTCGCACAAAATCGCAATATATTGCATTGCTCGTCATCTCTGACTCTCTGCCGTGCTTCGTTCTGTACCACCGATCTCATGAAGACAGTCGGCCATCAAGCTGCTAACTGCCCTAAGGCAGGCACTCCTACTTGGTAACTATTGATCTTGTTTATGCTGGGCATCGTCTCATTTTCGCTCGTCTCATTTAGCTACAACTGTACGTTAACTATCAGTCCATTTTTACACGGTGTTCACGAGGTCTGCAGGTGGCATGGAGGGTCATGTTTCTCGTGATTGCACGATGGAAGTCAAAGCCAAGTCTTGCTACAAATGTGGTCAAGAGGGTCACATTGTATGTTTGTTCGGGGATCGCGGTTAATCTTTTTACTCATCGCATTCAGTCTCGCGATTGCCCCGAAGGCGGTGCTTCAGGCGGTGGTGGCGGCGGCTATGGTGGAGGATTCTCTTCCCAGGAGTGCTACCGCTGCGGCAAGGCCGGTCATATTGCCCGCGCATGTCCTGAGGCCGCGGGGGGCAACACTAGCTACGGAGGTGGTGGCAACTATGGTTCCTTTGGCGGAGGCTCGAAGTCTTGGTTTGTCTTGGTTTTATTCGTCTTACATTTGCACTGATTTGCCATACGTAGCTACACCTGCGGCGGTGTAGGCCATTTGTCGCGCGACTGTGTTCAAGGTTCTAAGTGCTATAACTGCTCGGGTGTGGTACGTTGCTATGCACATATGAGGTACTCGAGCTCATGGTACTCGCCGAATTAGGGTCACATTAGCCGTGACTGTCCCCAACCTCAGAGGCGCGCCTGCTACACGTGTGGTTCAGAAGGGTGAGCATCTCCCTGTCATGCCCGTTGTTCTTTTGTTAATCTCCGTCTCAGCCACATTTCTCGTGACTGTCCCGGTGCCGGTGCTGCTGAGGATGCTTGAGTGATGTGATATCCATGTATTCCTAGTTGCTTCAGTGCTTAATCTTGATCTCTTGGTGGTTCGCTGTTGAAATCGTTTGGATCTGTTACTCCGTACTGGCAGAATATTAGCAGCTATTCGCTTAATGTCACTGTACAAGTTCGTGTTAGAGTTGGGGGGTGTATGAGGCATTTATGACCCGGTTTGCGCCGATCGCGCAAAATCCGCCAGCCGAGCTATTTTTTCCACGCTCTGTTACCCGCTAATTTCCACTCACTCAACTCCTCCCCTCCCCGTCTACCGACTCCTGCTTTCTTTGATTCTCCCCCATGCAAGCCATTCGCCTGGCGCGTCCTAGAGTCTCCCTGCGCCGTCTGGCGACGACCGCTCAGGTACCCACCTCCGGACCCTCCTCGTCCGTGACCGCGTCTGTTATCCCTCTCTCCAACGTCGAGGCACAATGGGAAAAGATGTCTCAGAGTGACCAGGCAGTTGTCCACCGGCAGCTCGAGGAGTTGCAGAAGAAGGACTGGAAGTCGCTCTCCCTGGATGAGAAAAAAGCTGGTGCGTGTTGTCCTCCTTCCGCTGCCTCTGTTGAAGTGTCTGATTAATGTCCTTTTGGCCTGTTGTTTTATTCAAAATCGTGCACTATCGTGACGTTTGGGTTGATTCAAATTTGCTTCTTTCCGTGTAATGTGTGTCAATAGCATACTATGTTGCCTTTGGCCCGCATGGACCCCGGGCTTCTGTCAGCCCACCTGGCCAGGGCCTCAAGGTTTTCCTTAGCACCCTGGGCCTTGTCGGTGTCGCTGGACTGCTCACCTTGGCCATCCGCTCGCGAGGTACTTTTTCCCTTTTTTTCGTGTCGCTGAACTCTAATATATATACCCCTGAACCTTAGCTCCGCCTCCACCGAAAACGATTACACGTGAATGGGAGGAAGCCAGCAACCAACGTGCACTCGAGCAAAAGATGAACCCCATTACGGGTCTGTGTCTTCCTCTGCAGATGTGTTTTCATAGTGCTTACGTCCAGCTTGACACACAGGTATATCATCGGAAGGGTATTCCGGGAAGGGCTTCGTCACCAAATAAGTTCATTTTGGGCCTCGTTCTCTACTGCTTATTCGTGCGGTCGTTGTTCCGTGCGTCTGCTGTGAAGAGAAAAAGACTTACATTATTTGCATATACCGTAGAGGCTGCCTTTCTTTGCTTCACATCTGCAATTGCAAAACCGCATCTGCCAGAATCCTTCTGTGTGATCGTGTGATGTATGTCATTTAAGCAGTACACAACGATGGAACGGCGCCGCTCGCGCTTAGCTTGGTAACATTGCGTTTGCAAAGTAATCGATTAAAAATGACCCCACCGTAAGTGTGGCAAAATTAGGCTGGAAACATAATGTATGTTAGGTGACAGGCGGGCACATTCATGGGCAGGCAACTGCTAGATTGCCGGGTACGATTAAGACGCTTCCGGGTCGGGAGCACATGATTCTACGCCACCAACATTCAGCACCAGTGACAAAGACACTCCACGACATCACCGTGCACTGCGAAGTGATGGTTGGAGGGCAGTGAAAGTCATGTCAAAGCAAATCGTGAAAAATGCAAATGGACCGACGGGAGCTGAGCAATTGACAAGCTCTTGGCACCTGGCTGACAGGTCTAAATACACCCCTGGAACCTAGGCCTGACTCCTGTCGACATTTGCAGTGCAAAATCACAGGTCGTGATGCAACTCTGTTCGAAGGTAAATAATAAAAGAACGGCTGGCAAATTGTTTTATAGCCATTTTGTGGGCAAGACAGAGGGCACTGCCGCAACGCCGAGAAGATCGCCGCCGTCATTCGGAAGGCGGGACGATGATCGATAGCAAGAAAGAGACATGAAGCGAGGAACCGCTGCCAAGGCCTGCTCGAACTCTTGAGTCTCGAACATGGTTCTGCACGGGTGGTTCCGACCTGAGGTGTCACCTCAGCATGACTATGCAATTAGCCAAACAATGCACACACCATCAACACACCATAGCAAGGTTTTGCGCCTGCAAAAGTATACAATCGCTACCAAATAGATGACGTGCTTTAAATCATGTGGGCACTACTGAATTGTATCTGTTGGGTGTTCTAAAGAGGCTGTGAAACTGCACCATTAGAACGTATGATTGATGGCAAGTAGTGGCGATCTACTTTAAATGCGACAATGTTGATGTGTTTAGGGATAGGTTGTAGGTCCGGTGCCCGAGGCTGAAACAACGTTAGGCGCAACTACGAAATTTCAACTCGCACCCGAAAATCGGAGCCCACACATTAATGAAGAGCCTTCTGCAACTTCGGGTGAGCTCCGAGCGGAACAGATCACACAAGAATGATGTAGAAAAACTAGCATATGCTCAGCGGGTTCTAAATCTCGTCGGAGATAGTGGATATTTCGTACTCGCCGTCTTGTGAACTCGTTTCATTTTGATGTCCGCATGATGGTAACTGCCATGCTGCGAGCTCTGGTGTTGTTATCCAGTCTAGAGCCATCTCTGCCCACCGTGCGAGGCAGGAGAGTAAAACGTCAGAGTAAATCACGAAGGTGGTGAAACTCCCAGCGACGAAGCGGCTTCCGCGGGTTGAAAGTCAAGTCAACCGGACAGCTTACAAGATGCCCGCGAAGTACGCATCAACATTTCATTGAAAAAAATTACTCCTCTCAGGGCAGGCAAAACCGCTCACTGATCGGGTACCACGGAGGAGAGCTCCAGCCAATCTATTTCGGATATATGATCATAATGGGAATTAAAGCATTCAGTCGCTAGTCAAGCAAGACACCGACGTCTAACTAGACCGCCGCGCTCTTCCCTACACTTTTGACCTCCTCGGGGTTCAGGTGCACCTGTGTGGAATAACACATCATCAGAAATGCACCGGGAAAGATTGAGAAGGGCGCACCTGCGGTCCACCAACACCATTTTCCCATTGTTGGTATTTTAGCGCGGTTGTACCTCTCTTCTCAGCTACGACACGCTCAGACTCTTTCAACGACTGACGAACAGCCCGTGCGGTGATCTGGGCATATTTGTTGTACCTTCAAAAGCCACGTCAATGGATGAACGAACTGCAGCAGAATCGACAGAACACGAACGTGAAAAAGTTTCTCCAGGTTGCACTGCTCATTGTGGAGGACGTTGAAGTTGAAGAATATTGTTCGTGCTTGATGTGGTCAAACGAAGTCCTTTCCGGAAATGTCCGTGCCATGGCCCATTGCCTAAAGTGGCGTATGTAATTGGACTGTGGGGACCGCTGCCCATACCTCCACCCTGACTCTCACCCTCGCTTGATTCTTCAGCTCTTGTATTTGTTTTTCTAGACCATCATAAACGACGCGAAATACATAGAGCCATAATGGCAGGGATTACGTGGCATTATGTTCTCAAATTTATCATCACAGGTATGATATATGATTTGGCACTACTAGTATTCCGGTATGAGCTGATTGCTCAATAACCGGGTTCACAGGCGATGCTGGAGTTGGAAAGTCATCTTTACTTGTTCGCTTGACAGACCAACGCTTCCTCGCGAATCCCGACCCGACAGTGCGTGCTTTCGCATACCTATTACCGAAGCTGAAACACCGCCCCTGTTACCCCTAGCTAGGAGTAGAATTCGGCTCAAAGTTGATCGATATACCCGAGGAAGGGAAGGTTGTCAAGCTACAATGTACGTCCCCACACCCGTTCTCCTGGGACACGCATTTCATGTAATGGGCTATGCAGGCTGGGATACCGCTGGAACTGAGTCCTTCAGGTCGATTACACGGTCATACTACCGTGGCGCCGCGGGCTGCTTGCTTGTTTATGACGTGACATCTCGAACGAGTACGCACCAAATACCGATTCATCTCCAGCCGTCTACTAAGAATTGGATATCAGGTTTCATAAACGCGCAGTCGTGGCTTGCAGATGTGCGGGAACATGCCGACCCTCACCTAACTTGCATACTAGTCGGAAATAAAGTCGATCTATGCGATGAGGAAACAGAGGGCTCGTTGGGTAGACGAAGAGAAGTTTCTCTAGACGAGGCAGGTGAATGGGCTAAAAAGGAGGGATTGCTATTCTTAGAAGCAAGCGCAAAATCGGGGACGAACGTTGAATCGGCGTTTGAACAAGCTTCGCGCGATATTCTCCATAAGATCAAGAGTGGCGTTTTTGATGATGATCGAGTGAGTGTTGCCCCACTAACATCTCCCTGACGCCATCCATCTCTGACATATGTTACCCTAGTCCCCAGGAGTGAAGCTGTCAAAGCCAGCAAATGGAAACCTTGCCCTGGATCAAGCCTCAAATATAAAGGGATGCTGTTCATGAGGAATATATTATGTGCAACATTATACATAAGGTTGCTGTACTCTACTCTACTGTGGTTGTGGGACTATAGTTATTACTCTGTATTGCCGAAAATGCGCAGGATTATGGGACTCGTACTGTATCTGGAATGAGATCCCGCGCTAGGGTATCCTGGGCATACAGATGATACAGAACTTTTGCGTGTGTGTGAATGCAAGGGAGTGGCGCAAGTTTTGTCCAACACTTCTACACGACTTCTGATGGCCGTCGGAATCACATGCGTCCATATTTCATACCCTCCGCCACTATCATATCATGATCAACGCCGCAACGAGTCTGCATACTCCTGCAGCTGCTGTACGAATCCAAAATTGGGTTCGGCAGATCTTCGTCTCGTTTTGACGTACTGGATAGCTTGTGCTGGAGTCCAGCCGTACTCCGCTATGAGAAATGCACAAACCACGCTGGTGCTGCGGCTCACTCCCTCCATGCAGTGTACGAGAACCCGTGCGTTTGGATCGTGCAGTGCGCTGCGGATGAAGGCGGTTGCGGACGGAAGGTGGGCGGCGAGCTCGGAGAATGGAAGATCCTCGAGGGGGTACTGTGCACGATGGATAGGTAGTTCATGTGGTATTGCAACGTATCCACGCATTGCGGAGAGGATGTGGGTGATGCCCAGCGTGGTGAGCGCAGCAGGGTTTTCTGCGAAGGATAGGTCTGAGACATATAGTCTTGGCAGTATCTCTGATGCGCCCGGTGTTCGGAGCTGGTAAGGGGTCTGGGACATGGGTGATGGTGTCCAGTTTGACATGCTAGAAGAGTGACTGCCGGTATGTGATGACAGGGTGAGCCTCCCGCGTTGCTAGAATATATATGAGCATAATGGGAAGCAAACGAAGATATATGACGATGGGACACAACAGGCAAGTGAGGATGTAGGCAGTAGGAAGGCCGGCTAAAACACGACTCACCATGACAACTCTGACAAGCGCAGCAGTGAATGTCGAAAGCGCACAAGTTTAGAACCGTCGAAGTAGAAGCAACGGAGGAAGGTGGTTTGAGTTAAGAAAAGGAGCTGTAGGAACTTGGTGCGAGAATAGTGATACCACGAGGCGGGTACCCTTACTTTAGCCGGCCGAGATCTAAGGACATAGGCCTCTTTATGAACGAAGAGATTAAGCCAGCCAAGAAGAAGGCAGCAGACAAACAGCCTTCGTGTAAGATCTGGGCTGGATTTGCCCGGACCTGAGCCGATACTAGGATAGAACGGCGTCCTCAGCGGACGTCGGGAAGGCACGGCCCTTGGGCGGGGTTCGTCTTAGTTAGTCCTGTAAGGGGGAGCAGAGCTTTTGGTGGGACTAAAGTAGGACAAAGTCTGTACACTGTGAGAGCTCACGAAATAATTTGTACAGCCTTCCGCGACTTCGCTCATCAAATGGAATCTCGTCCATATTAGTGGCAGGTTCAGGGACGTCAAGACACGCGGACGAGGCTATGCATGACACTGCTCCGAAGTGGGAACCAATAATCTTGGCCCCGGCTGTCGTCTAACTCAAGTACCCGCATATGGTGCAGGTGCAACGCGTGTAGAAAGAATGTATACTTATATCTTCTTTCCACAACAGTTCAAAGGAAAACAAGCATATCCATGCAGCTAACGCAATGTGAAAGAAAGAAAGACGAAGAAATGAAACATAGCTTGGCAGACCCAAAAACATTTTACATGGCATACTGTCAAGAAAATTTCGCGATCAAAGAATGGACGTAACAATTTCGGAGCGGCATCGTAACAAGTCTGGCCTATAAAACAGATGGCCCAGTCTAAATGAGATCGCTAGAAAGGACATGTCAGAGCTTGATCATTCATGTATCAATCCCGCAGTAAGGTACTCACGCGACATTCAGAGGCATCTCGTCAATCTGAGTGTTGTAGAATTCTGCACGCGAACCTTAGTACCCAATCCCACAGTAGACAAATTAGTACTCACGTTCAATATCTCTCAGCATTCTGACATCTTCGGTTGTCACAAAGTTGATGGCAACACCCTTACGTCCGAAACGCCCGCCGCGACCGATGCGATGAATGTAGTTTTCTCTGTTTGTCGGCAGGTCATAGTTGATGACTAGCGACACCTGTTGCACGTCTATACCGCGGGCCAAGAGATCTGTCGTGATCAGGACACGGGATGAACCTGAGCGGAACTCCTTCATCAGGACTTCACGCTGTTTCTGCTCCATGTCTCCGTGCTGGATAAATGATCCGATCAGAGGGGTTACAGACTGAGACAATGCCGCAATTACTGACCATAGCCGACACCGTGAACTCGCGCGAGTGCATTTTCTCTGTCAACCAATCGACCTTCCGCCTCGTATTGCAGAAGATGACGGCTTGCGTGATCGTGACTGTCTCGTAAAGGTCGCAAAGAGTGTCCAACTTCCATTCCTCTTTCTCCACAGCAATGTAGAATTGCTTGATACCCTCAAGCGTCAACTCGTCCCTCTTCACAAGAATTCGAACGGGGTCACGCATGAACTTCTTCGTCACCTCCAAAACGTCAGCAGGCATCGTGGCGGAAAGGAGCACCACTTGAGTCTCCTGCGGTAGGAGCTGGAACAACTCGTAGATCTGGTCCTTGAACCCACGGGACAACATCTCATCAGCCTCGTCAAGACAGAAAATCTTGATGGTGTCAGTGCGCAGAGCTCTCCGGTTGATCATGTCATATACGCGTCCAGGAGTGCCAACAACGACTTGCACACCCTCCTGAAGCTTAGCCATGTCCTCGCGAACGTTTGTGCCGCCAACACACGCATGACACTCGATGTTCATGTAATCGCCGAGCGCGATGACGACTTTCTGGATCTGTTGAGCAAGCTCACGGGTAGGTGCCAGAATAAGAGCTTGGCACCCTTTGATAGACATATCCAACTGCTGAAGGATGGAGATGGAGAACGTGGCGGTCTTGCCGGTTCCAGATTGCGCTTGGGCAATGACATCGTGACCCTTCACAACAGGGACGATAGCACGCTGCTGAATCGCGGAAGGCCTCTCAAAACTATTTCAAAGCATTGACGATTTAACACTGAATAAATAATGAAGGCGCTTACCCGTAAGCGTAGACACCACGGAGAAGCTCAGCTTTCAGATCCATGTTGTCGAAGCTGTTTTACACTACATCAGAACCTGGTTCTGCAAGACCGAAACAGCAGTTTGACGTACTTATCTACGACCTGGTCCCAGTTGGACTCGATCTCATTCTCCGCAACATCCTGTAGCGTTTCTTCTCTGAGTCCACAGGAGTGTCATAATATTAGTAAATGCACCAAATTGCAAGGGGAGCAGGACGGGATACATACGCTGACATGAGTATAGTTTATTTTTTGTATCCAAGGGTCGACTACTGTAGTCGATGATGCTTGGATTGTAGTGGGTTGTGTCCGGTGAGCGTATCGATCGACTTCTAACCCACTGATCAAATTTTCCGTGTCTTCCTTGGGTCAGTGGCTGAAGCGGAATATGCCGTCTGTTTTGAAGCTCCGAACTTCACGTGTTGTCGGTGCCGAACAATGCGACTCTAGCGTATCCAGTCTTTGCTCAAGGCGATCAGATATCGCTGATATTCGCGCTATACAACTGAACGTTCAACGTTCATTGATGCATTGATGGACTCTGATCAATCTGATTATCGGGCTCGTACGTATTTTCAAAGTTGAAAACACTGACGAGCATTGCTTTCATGTCAAAGTTATCTAGTACAGCCTCCTCTGCCGCATCAACAGCAGACCTCTCATGAAAAACATCGCATCCTCCTAGTTTACAGTACAAGAAAGCTACACACAACCGACAACTAGCTGAACGTCACGATTGATGATGATATGACACGTTTTTATATTCTTTCGATCGACCAACCCTCCCATCCTACCCTCTTCCCAATACACGGTCCTTCTTTCAGCGTAAACGTGACGTCGTCCAACTTCGCCATGATTTTCGCGGTGATCACAGCTGCAGCTGGTGGTGCCCAACTTGCCGCTACACATTTGAGCTTTCCGTGCCCGAAAGCGTATAACTGATCCCTTCTAGCACCGGAATGGCTAGCATGGAACCGCATAGGATTGAAGGATTCAGGATCACTGCCATAGAGAATAGATTTATGCGCCTCTTCGACGTCAGCCACCTCTATGGATGGAACAAATGGCCGCTTCCACCACGGCACGTCTACGGAGCGAGTGATATGACGAGTCGGGGGGTATAGTCTGAGAACCTCGCTGACGACCGCCTCGACACTAGGCCGCGCTCCTGTCCCTTCGTTTGTGAGGGCACGGAACTGATCGTCAGTGGGGTTCTCATTATATGAGAGAAAGGCCTCGCGCAGCAGGCAATCGCGGTTAGAATATACGACCGCAATTGCTGCAACGCGCCACATGGTCTCGTACGCGGGGATGATGAGGTTGAGCGGATTGGTTCTATCTGGAACCCATCTAGTGATGTGATGGTTGATGCGGTCAAGCACTTCTGTAGGTAGAGCGCTGCTTGATTTGGATTGCGCCCAACGGTCGTTGATGGCTTGGGTCACGAATGCGACGTCTGCGGGGGCCAGATCTTCGATATCTGTCCCCAGCAGCCCTGCCAAGACGACACTGAGCGTGACTGATTGCGCGAAGGTGGCGTAGTCAAGGCTCTCTGCAGTGTCAAGGAACCTGTTCACGCAGGCTTCAGCAACATCAGCAACCCTCGACCACCCATCCCTCGCGCTGACGGCAGTTATTAGAGCTTTGGCTTCGTGGGTGAAATCGTCATGTACGTGTGGGTCGCTGCTGACGAACGTGCTGGAAATACCAAGCGCCTTTACCAGGCGCTGGTTGGGTATGGAGCGCGCGCGTAATAACGCGGAGATGGGGAGGTCAGGGGGACTCAACAAGGCCCGTATAGCCTGGACACTGGTGTGTACCCTTGTCCTCGGGGTCACGAGCGCTTTGGCTATGACTGCGGCAACGATTGCCGCAGTAGAGAAGATCAACACAATAGTATGAGGCATGCGGGGTGTCGACTGGAAGAACTTCCATTCGCTCCTTGCCTCAGTACTTATCCAGGTGGCTTAGCGTCATCCATTCTCCGATCGCTAGCTTTCAAAGCATATGTGCGTAACCTTCTTAGAGTTCAGAACATTCGTGGCTCGAACTTTGATGCCACGAGTTTTTACTCAAAGATATTTCAATAGCCGCATACTCGGGACTCACATTCGAATCACCCTTGTCTCCCAAACAGATCTGGGGGCCGGCAGCACGACATTATCAGGAAGCCTTCACTTTGTGATTGCTTTAAAGTGCAATTATGAACGGGTGGTCATCAGAACTCTCATTGAAATGAAGCTTGTTTAGGCGCTTAGCGTGCAGCAAGGGGATCTAGGCTGTGTTCCGCGATACGCAATCACCACTTGACGTGATTCAAGTCCTTCAAAATCCTTCTTAGGCTCCCGGCGATCCTTTATCCATTGAACACGAGGTTTCCTGTGGTGTATATGGTGCCTTGTTCCAACTTGGAACCTCATTTGGTTCCGACATGAGGTAAATTCATGTCCAAACTTATCCGTCATACCAGCCCCAACACCATAGCTTAGGTCAATATTCAGAGCTAACCCTCTTCGAAATCTTTTCAGTTCCCACAAGTTGCGTAACTTCCCAGTCCAAGCAGGTATGGTAACTCTACCCTCCAAACCTATGCAAGACCCCGACCAGCGTGCTAGTGATAGTAACTAGCGGTTTAATGATCTACTAACACTTTCTTCTACGATAGATTAGGCGGGAGTAAGCCCCCTGCGAATAGGGCTATGTCCAACATAGGGTCCTCGACCCCGAAGCACAATAAATTTGATTTTTTTTTTACATAAACAAAAAAATAATTTCTTCATGCTCATAAGTTTGAAGCCCTGCCGATGTCTCGCGCCTCAATCCAGCGGTCACTGCTCCCACAGATTGCACCCTTCGACATCAACTACGACATCATATCAATACCCAGCTCAGCCTTCATTCAAATGACACACCAAATAAGTATACGGCTCCCTCTTCCCCATCCCCCGACACTAACACACGACTCTCGATTGCAAGGTGGGTAACGATAATTACAGTACACCCTCATCTTCAAAGCGGAGACAGCCTCCTAATTTACAGTACAAGCAGACTATACACAACCTAAAAGCAGCTCAAGAGCACGGTTGAAGATATCACACGTCTTTCGTTATATTCTTTCGATCGACCAACCCTCCCATCCCTCCCTTTTCCCAATACACGGTCCTTCTTTCAGCGTAAACGTGACGTCGTCCAGCTTCGCCATGATTTTCGCGGTGATCACAGCCGCAGCTGGTGGTGCCCAGCTTGCCGCTACACATTTGAGCTTTCCGTACCCGAAGGCATATAACTGATCCCTTCTAGCACCGGAATGGCTAGCATGGAACCGCATAGGATTGAAGGATTCAGGATCACTTCCGTAGAGAATAGATTTATGCGCCTCTTCGACATCAGCCACATCTACAGATGGGACAAACGGCCGCTTCCACCATGGGACGTCTACGGAGCGAGTGATATGACGAGTTGGTGGGTATAATCTGAGAACCTCACTGACGATCGCCTCGACACTAGGCTTCGCTCCTGTCCCCTCGCTTGTGAGGGCACGGAACTGATCGTCAGTGGGGTTCTCATTATATGAGAGAAAGGCCTCGCGCAGCAGGCAATTGCGATTAGAATATACGGCCGTGATTGCTACAACGCGCCACATGGTCTCGTACGCGGGGATGATGAAGTTGAGTGGATTGGTTCTGCCTGGAACCCATCTAGCGATGTGGTGATTGATGTGCTCAAGCACTTCTGTAGGTAAAGCGTTGCTCGATTTGGATTGCGCCCAACGGTCGTTGATGGTTTTGGTCACGAATGCGACGTCTGCGGGGGCCAGATCTTCGATATCTGTCCCCAGCAGCCCTGCCAAGACGACACTGAGCGTGACTGATTGCGCGAAGGTGGCGTAGTCAAGGCTCTCTGCAGTGTCAAGGAACCTGTTCACGCAGGCTTCAGCAACATCAGCAACCCTCGACCACCCATCCCTCGCGCTGACGGCAGTTATTAGAGCTTTGGCTTCGTGGGTGAAATCGTCATGTACGTGTGGGTCGCTGCTGACGAACGTGCTGGAAATACCAAGCGCCTTTACCAGGCGCTGGTTGGGTATGGAGCGCGCGCGTAATAACGCGGAGATGGGGAGGTCAGGGGGACTCAACAGTGCCCGGATTGCTTGGACACTGGTGTGTACCCTTGTCCTTGGGGTCACGAGCGCTTTGGCGGCGACTACGGCGACGATTGCCGCAGCGGAGAAAATCAAGACAATACTAGTATGAGACATGTGGGGCGTCAACTGGAAGAACTTCCATGTACCTTTTCCCTTAGTATTTATCCAGGCGTCTGGTATCATCTATTCTCCGATCGCTAGCCCTCGAAGCACATGTTCGTAACCCTCTTACTAGAATCCAGAACATTCATGACTCGATGAGATTTTTCCAAAGATATATTGATAGCCGCATGGGAGTCGCATTCGAAATCAGACTTCTCTCTCATGTGTAGACGCAGCATCACATCACCTTTTGGGAGCCTTCCCTTCGTGACTGCTGTGAAATGAATTCGGAAATGTTGCAGTCATGAAAACTCTCCCTAAAACGGAGCTTCATGTGTAGGCGCAGCAAGACGTCTATGGTAAGGGTGTATTCCGCAGCACGCAGTCGTCATTTAACATGTAATTCAAGTCTTTCACAATGTTCCTTGGGCTTCCGATGATCCCTAATTCATTGAACATGAGGTTTCCTGTGCAAAGAAGCAGTCTACAGTAACTCTCGGTTTGATAACTGGTACCCCCTTTGCCAAAACCGTGGCTTTCATGCCAGGCTTCCTGTGCAGACAACGGGCCCACATGCAGACAATTTGTCTATAAACGGGCACATTCAGGACGGTGGGCGTGAAAGTCGGTGGAGTGGAGTCTAAGTGCATGAGTACTGTGACCACGGGCTTCCGCCAACGCGCCTCCTTCCTCCCCGTAAGGTATCCTATGCTCACAGGCCGGCGGTCCCGCATCCAACTCGAACTTCGTCGATCATCTGCCAAGTAGATGCACAGGCGAATCGCGCTCGCTGAGAAATCGCGGCCCTCGAAAAACAGATCTTGAAACCACATCACAAGAAGTCCGCCTTGTCTTGCCTTATCGAAGGTCCCGCTGTGTGCGGGGTACTGAACCCGAGAATCATGTATGTAAGTGATGTCTTCTCTGAATTACTATTAGCACAATAAGAGCAGTCAGGATGATGAGGACAAGAGGTACTTCCTGTGCCGTTATCAGGGAACTGTTCTTTTTTCCAGTACCGTCCCCTTTTGCATGCCCATTCATTACTTTCCCTAGATATAATCCTATGTAGATTTGCCGGTGATAAAGTGGCACTACTATTGTGCTAAAGAAGGCCAACTCAAACTTACCCTCTTGCCGTAATATATTGTATTCGTTGAAAGTGCCCATTCACTGATCTGTGTGCGAGAATACATATATCGTAGAGCTGCACTGCGGACGGCATCTGAAATCCACTGATCTGTGTATAAAAATATATCGTACGGCTGCACTGCGGACGCATCCAAATGTTATCACGATGACACTATCTTACTCCGCAGTTCGAACCGGACATACCGTGATCACAAACGTTATCAAACGCTGCGGATCATCGATCAACCCCGACCTGAGTATGTTCCAGTCAGTTCAATCCACTGCGGATTCCTCGGTCTCCTCTTCCAACCCGAAAATCGCCCATAGCACTCCAGCCTGCCCAAACGGCCTCTCCATGCCCAACAGGGTACTCGCCGCTTCATATCTGTTCTCCGGTTTCCTCACTTCCTCACACAGTTTCGCGTAGGCCTTTGTTATGCGACCCAGAGATACGTGGTGGATAGTGGAGTGCAGCGACGGTGATGATAACGCTGATAGTCGCGGTGAATGCACAACCTCAGGGCTGGAAAGCCAGAGAGAGAATCTTGCAAGAGTGGGCTGCAGCTGTTGCGCAGGAAGCACATGGGAAAGCGGATCCTGTAATTGTGTTTTAGAAGTGCACAAGTTGTGAATAAGGTACAAATGTTACCGAAGGTGACTTAGACTTGATAATGACGACGGTGTCATATAACGAGGCATCTCTGAGAATGTTCTCGTACTATATGACAGCTGAGTGGGAGCTGAGACAACATGAAGAATTAAACCCACATGCTCGTCCTCCAAAAGCCTTACCCTTTCGTCGATTTTTTCTTGGATAGTGCGACGTTTCTCGGAAGTGAACTCGAACGCCTCCAACACATTCTACTTCGATTAGCTAGCTGTAAAAAGAATGCGACAGGTGTGGAAACCTACCTGGAGATAACACCAACAATTAAGTACGAATACCGCCCGGTCCCACTGCGGGCGATACCTCGCCTTCTCCTCGGCTGCAGCGGCACACATTTCCATGGCAGGATCGAGCATCACATCTAGGATGCGGTTGAAGGTCCGTCCAGGTTCTGAAGTGGTGTCATCGAGAAGAGAGGAATCGTAAACCTGCATGATTTCGCGGAGCAGCTGGGCATGCTCTAGAATTGGGAATGGTGGAGTCAAAGATGGGTCGTCTGGGTCCTAGTGATTGCTTGAAAAAAAAGAAAATCACTCGTGATAAAGAACTTACCAAGGAGATTCTTAGGAGAGCACGACCTTGGGCCTCGATAGCATCGAAGAAGACCTTATAGCTCACTTCCGTGATTCTACCAAGAAGAATGAGAACGTACACAGATGAACTAGAGTATGCAACTCACTCGCTCAGAGTCGTCGACAAAAGAGCATCCTCCCCGATGGTGCGCCGCATCGTAAGCAGGTAGTATTGCAGTAGATTCGCAACTTTGTACGAGACTATGCTACTTTCTTGCGAACGCACAGTCTGCTGCACGCGCATCTGGGAACACACATGAAACCAAATGATTTTACAACAAATGGTAGACAGACCTTGAGCGGCACGCACAACTTCGTCACTGCAGAGTTAAGCAGTTCCTTTACCCAACCCTCTTCTTCACTCCCTCCAAACGTCCTTACGGCGCCAACCATCCTCCTCGCTCTGCCATCGTCTTCTTGCCCACCTCCAAGCCCAAACAAGCTTTCCAAGAATTCACATTCAGCAGCGATAGCCTGATGGACCCACGCAAGCATATCACCGACGTATCTGATGGGATCATGTGCGTGCAATTCAATGGGACGCGGAAGACCTGATGGGCCGCCTCGAGTCAATGCATCCAGAAACGCACTCAGCAGAGCTGTCTGGCGCGTCTGCGTCAGAAAAGCAAGAGCTTCACTATGGACAGATACGTTGAGAAGAAAGAATGAGAATCCACCGATAGTGGGTACGTACGAGAGCAACTCTGGACGCTGAGAGAGTCGGCAAATAGCTTGCTGCATAGTCGAGCCAACTTCCAGCTGAATATCGCGCCCCATCTGACGGAACTCAAAAGAACACCAGCGATATATCTTCTCGTAGCCTTGTTCAAGGTAGGAAGAAGTGGACGCCATGATGTCCAGTCTGCAAGTACACCTATTATTCACGGAACATCACTGGGATCACAGAGCGTTACTTACCCAGCTTTTGTCGGTCCGTCTTCGCCCGTCATAAGTACCCTGCAGTCGTTACGGATATGCTCTGTCTTGTTCATTGCCTCGAAGAAGCGGGGACCAATGGGGACGTTCCGAGAGGTTATGGCTTCAGCCTCTTCATCACTGAGTGTGAAGCGGTTTAGGAAGAGCATGACGATAGATTTGCGCATCTCAACTTCCTCCCTACGTTATCTGTCAGTAGAAATACCTACCGATGCACAAATATCATACCTCTCACTCCTCAGACTCTCCGCACGATCAAGCAGAGACTGGCTGGCTTCGCTGGATAACCTCAGCTGCGTCTCCGCCTCGTCACAGGCAACGCGCATGGCAGCGACGTGTTTCTGCAGCTCATCAAGTTTCTACAGTTTTGTTAGACGATTCTCGATGATACATCTGTCCAACACACACTTGATCCACTTCGCTGAATGCTTGAAGAAATTGCTGGCTTCCTTGTGCAAGTTTGTTCTCCAGATCCCGACGAAGATTCTTACGTGCCCTCGACGCAGTCTCATTTAAACCTTCCCTGTGGTCCTCGACGGCTAGCGTGATGTCTGTGTCCTCGTCGCTCCAATCATCGTCTGAGTCTGGGTTGGCTGTCTGTGCTTTGGAATCTGGTACCGATACTGTAGAATGGGTGCCATACAGTTCTGACTAGAGTCCGGAGCGCTTCTGTCGTTGCTTCATCTGTAAAATTTGTACCCAAGATTTTACGCAGACGGATTGTTATTGGATTCCGAGCCTGTGACGCAAGGAACTGGGGTGCCTGCATTTCGGGGCGAGGGGTGCAGGTGAATGATGTGCTGGAACGGACATACAGTTTCAGCTTGGCAAAGCTCTACTAGTGACTTCATCACAATTTATTTCACAACTACACAAAACTGTCTTGCACCCGTCCATCGAAACCAACACATTCATGCTGCAAATATAGCGTTCATTGGTAGGCTTCCATGAGTATACCTAACATAGAACGTAGCAAATGATAAAGTCTAATGTATCACTATCGAGAAACCAGCCATCAGTAGTAGTGTACCTCCTCGCGTTCACGACCACGCATAGATACTGGCTCCGTGCCCTTGTAGTAGATGTCCGTCCAGAGGTCCTTGGCTACTGGCTCAGGGGATTGTTTAGCCTCCTCGACAGCCTGGTCAACTTCGGCCTTGGCGTCCTTGTCGAGTTGCTACACGAATACGACTGTCAATGCAATTCGATGAGAAGCGATTAGCGACAGACCTTCAGCTCTTGCTCGGTGGCAAGACCCCACTCCTCGATGTAGCGCTGGAGACCACGGATGGGATCCTGGGTGCTACGCATCCGCTGAACCTCCTCACGGGTACGGTAGGTGGTACCGGGGTCGGACATTGAGTGACCACCATAACGGTAAGTGACGAACTCCATGAGAAGCGGGCCATTGCCTTCCGTCACCCACTTGCGAGCGTATTGCACAGCGTGCCTGGAAGCGATGATGTCCATACCGTTGACCTGAAGACATTCGAAGATAAGTAAATATTCGAGTCCCAGAAAGAAGAGAGAAAGGGGGTACTCACCTGGAGACCTGGGATCTTGTCACCACGAGTAAAGTATTCGGTGTTGGAGGAACTGCGCTCGGCAGAGGTACCCATTCCGTACTTGTTGTTCTCACAAACGAAGACAGCGGGGAGACCCCAAAGTTTAGCCTATAAAGCTTGATGAGACAGATTTCATATATTGCCCAACACACCCATACCATGTTAATGCCTCGAAGACCTGTCCTTGATTACTTGCACCATCACCGTAGAGAGCAAATGTTGCGGTGTTTTTGCCAAGGTACTTTTGTGCGAACGCGATACCAGCTCCTACAGGTACCTGGGCACCGACGATACCGTTACCACCAAAGAACGAGGGAGTGAAGATGTGCATAGAGCCACCCTTGCCATGAGACATGCCGCCCTGGCGACCGAGAAGCTCAGCAATAACGCCCTTGATGGTACCGCCACGCATGACAGCGAAGGGGTGACACCGGTAAGCAGTAATGACGCGGTCTTCAGGCTTGATACCATACTCAAGACCAACGGAAACAGCTTCCTATGTGTATAGTCAGCAATACTGTGTTATTCAGGCGAGAACACTAAATACCTGGCCAATAGCCAAATGACAGAAACCACGAACAAGCTTAGCCTTATAAAGGGCATCGGCAGCCATTTCCATCCGACGCATTGTTTGCATGTCCTTGTACATCTTCAGAAGCTCATCCTTTTGCACCTCGACCTCAAGTGAGGGAGTCTCGCATTGATATGAACGGAAGGATTCCTCATGGAGCTTCACTGTAAAGGGTTTTGATTGATCCTCGATGGTATCTTGCAGTTGAGTGGTGTCCGCGGACGTCTGTATGGATCGCGCAAAGGCAGGCTGCGAAAGGTAAACACAAAGTCAGTTTTCTCATCGGACACAGTAGGGAGCTTAGTTAGACTGACAATGCGGCGAACAGCAGGACGGAACCGTGCAAGGGAGGCCATTTATGAGACGGGGAGGACGATGAGAACGAGGGTAAGGAAAAGAGAAATGGACGTGTCTGAACCGACGAAGGAGACGCGAACTTTGACCTCCCAAAAATTGAATACGTAATTATTCGGGCTCGCGCGGAAGGAAATCGTGAGATGTACAGCCACGATCCACACCATAATTCCAGGAATAATTCAAAAATGGCCGCCGGACCGACGTACTCATGATAGCCTTATGGTGCGATATCTCCTAATATTTTGCACTAGGTTGTACATGTCTTGAAGCAGTCTAGTGGTGGGCACTTAACCTCTTGTGACTTTTCCTCGCGAATTATTCAGGTTGTTTAACGTGTGGGCTCGTCAAGGGTGTTGTCAATGGTGAGAGTCGTCGTGCGCCATGTGAGTATGCACACCAGGCGCCCGCCTCGGGAGACATTATATCAGTCATGGGGTCGACGGGATTCCCTAGCTTGTCTGGGTGCCCAGAAAAATGTGCCATCGATACATTCAAACACAGTAGCACGGCTGATAATCACTGAGCCTTGATGCCTCCACAATTGAAACTAGATGATCCATTGCACAAACACATCACAGGGCAGGCGCCGTCGATATATAGAGTCCGCCTGAGAGCAAATCTATGCATTATATATGTTCCAAGTCTAATGACCAAAAGTCAACCCGCGTCCTAGGAGCCGTACAAAACATGAACTTACTTTGCGCCACAGGAGGCCCCAATGGTCATTGATTGGTCCGTCAATACCCCATGCCATTCCTCTGAACCACCAGAAGTTTCCGACGATCAAGAAGGCACAGATACCGAAGGCAACACGCTTTGTCTTGTCCTTCCAGCGTGCGGAGAAAATGAAGTGGTCAAGAAGGTGAGCGAGCATGAGAACGGAGAAGTAGAGAGTAGGGAGCTGATCGATTGTGGGTCAATAGAAGCTTTTTCAACTTCAACATAGACACGTACATAGTGATGAACATATGTGACACGGCCCATGATAAAGAACGGGACTGGAGAGCGACTTGTGAGTCCCTAAAGTGAACAAAGATATTCAGACTCACAATAATGCAAAAACCATCCAAAACCAGCAATCTTTCCGACATACAAGAAATGATCCCATTGTTCTGAGATGATGAGTTAACACATACTTGCGATATAGGTGGCGAGTGAGCTTACGGGGAGTCATATCGACGTACTTGCGCTGCTGGCGCAACAGGTAGACGCCGAGAACAATAACCGAAACCATCAGGCTGACAGTGCCGCCCCACCAGATCACAGGTGTGCCAAGAAGGTAGTACTTTGGTTGATGGTCTCCCCAGCCACACATCCTGAGGCCTAGCCGCATCCAAGGCCAGTCGCTGGGACTCGACGCAAGTATATCTTCCTTGTCGGGATCAGGGATAAGTGCGTTGTTGGAAGTCATCATGGCCACATTAAGATGCCAGAAATCACGGAGGAACGGGGACTTGTAAAATTTCGCATCGCCAGGAGGCACTTAAACGCCAACGTCAGTGTTACATTGAAGAAACAAGAACTGCGGCTCACATCGGTCGTTCCAGTGACTCTCCACGTTCCAGTACGTGTGAATGTCCTCTGGGTCGTTCTCCTTGGTGCAGCTGACTTCAAGCTGCTTGAAGCCCCACTGAGGTAGGACTGCATTCGCAGCGTACAGGTAGCACCCTAGAGCCTGGTGTTTGAACCTCAATCTGGTTGTGAGTGAATGGATTCTCGACACGTGCTCCTTGGTTCCCTGATTGATATCATCGACGACCTCGACCACCCAATTGTCGTGGAAATCTCCAACAGTCGAGTTACCGTAGCATGAAACTTCATTGTTGAGCTTCGTCACGGGTGCTGCCACCGAGTGCGAGTGCAAGTTTCGCGTCGTGGGTGCATGCTGCAAGCGGATGACGTCGCCATCTTGGAGGAACCGCAACTCGCTGTTTGGGTTGTATTCAGGCTCTTCCCAAGTGGGAAGGACAGTCCACTGGTTGTTATCATCTTTATAGTGATAGCAAGTAACCTGCTGCTGAGTTGAACCGATGGGATAAGTTTGAACATGGGAGTGCAGGAGACCTCCACCCCACCCCATGCCTTTCAAGGTGATTTTTGAGCCAATTGCAATTTCTGGGATCTTATCAGTGATGTTCCGATTTACACAAGGAGTCAAACCAACCCCGCGGATTCTTGCCAAAATCGTTGCCGACAAGTTGGGCTTGGAATAGCGAGCTCATCGTAGAGTCGCCAGGACCCGAATGATTTAGGATCAGAAAATGCATTTTGAAGGACCACATGTATACCATGATCGGGAGGACGATAAGGCAGAGCACGCGAGCTGCCCAGTGTCGAAATTGATCCCGCTGTCGAAGGTATCAGCTTATAGGAGCAACGTCATAAAAGTGATAGGCCTCACATTAGACATGCGAAGATCACCGAACTTCTCCCAGAGATCCTCGATGGTGTACAAGCCAACCACAGCAGTCACGAATAATCCAATCCATTTGACACTGAGGCACATCAGCGAAGGCGCATTTAGGGAAAAAATGTATCAGACCTCGTCACACAGCCGATGGATGCACCTGTAAATGCAAGCCACATCCACCAGTCGAAGGAGAATGATCTGTTGCGAGCGTCAGTATTGAGCTGCACACACGACGCGTCAAACACATACTGGTATTGTTGATTGTGAAATTTGGTGAGGAAAAAGACCGTGGTGAAAGTGAAGAAGAGAAGCATAGAGTCCAGTAGAATAAACCGCGATATACACAACCAGGCAACATCTGCATGCAGAACATGAAGCGCCAGCGGCTTTTACTTGCGAACATGACACTCACCACACAGAACCATGAGCGCAACCAAATGACAAGACCATGAGCTCATTCCCAACTCAACTGCAGTATACCACCCCAGCGGAACCAAAGCCACACCAAAGGTCGCCATCATGACCCGCATGGCCACATACGGGACATTTTCATTATACACCTCTCCGCTTTTAAACTCGAACTGCCCATTGTAACCCGATAGTAAACCCGCAAGGCCGACAAGCATCTTCCCAAGCGGAGGGTGGACATCGAAATAAAACTCGCGTTTGAGGTAATGCGACCCAAACTTGCCAAAGTGCGCCTCGTCCCAAACAACGGTATTGGCATGACCTATTTTGTGGAAGCGGGTCCAGCACGAGAGAAGAGTATAGATGACCGGCGGGAGGTGCTCTAGGTTCTGAGATATGAACTCGCTCTGGGTGAGCGCTCAATGTCAGGATGCGCAGCAGGTCTCAACAGTGGTAAGGGATACGTACTATCGAAGTTGGAGGCGGAGGCGGAGGCCTGTGAACACGCCCGCTACTGACACGGCCCTTGACAGGTCTTAGTTTTGAGTACACGTCCTTCCCGTCGTCGTCGTAGTGCATTTCACTTTCATGCTCATCACCGCTCATAAACCCGCCGCTGCTGCCGGGCCCTCTAGCTACCCTTCGCCTTGTCGACGTATCCTCGTTCATGTGGTGTAACGGCAACGATTCTTCGTGTTTGTAGTTATTAGAGTAAGATGAGTGGGTGGTAGGATAAGGAATTTCTTCAAATTCCGAAGACGTGCGTGGAGGCGTGCCGGGTGGTGTACCAAAGTCTATTTGGACTTGAGGGGGTCTCATCTGCCCTTCCTCTGTTATTTTTTTGATCGAACAAGGCCTATGGAGCCTTTGGGAAGTTGGTAGTCTTGCGCAAGTGATGCGCTAGCCTCCGTTCACGCGTTCTTGAAGCGTCGCAACCAGAACTACCAACCAGTGTCGAACCAGTGCCTGAAATCTATTGATGTGACACGTGAGGGTCGCGGGTACACAAAACCTACTATTCCCTAAATGTTAACTTTCATATACATATACAGAGAAGTTTGCAATAATTAGAATAAAAGCACAAGTTCGTATCGAAGATATGACCACAAATACTTTTAACGACAAACGATAATACCAACTACAAAGATCATTCAAAAGCAGGCAGCAAGTGCGTGCACATTTTATACGTGTCGCTGGTATTGAGCTGTGATCAAGCCGTCAGACACAAGTAGCAAACACGGAGACACGGAGACTACTTACCAGAAACCATAGCGTGGTCACGCTCGTACGGCTCAAGTGTGATTTGTTCAATAGGCTTGAACTTATTTTCTCGTAGTTTTTGTACTTCCTGCACAAAAACGGCGGAAGGCGCTGCTGTCGAATCTATACAGCTAGCCTTGATGGAAATGACCACGTGTCCACCATCTTTGAGGAAGAACTGCGCATTGTGGATGACAATCCGCGCTTGATCGGGTTGTGCAACGTCTGCGAATATAACATCGACCGTTGACAGCAGCATGCGGTATTTGTTAGGAAGGCGGGCATCCTCCACGATGGCTATAAGAAATTGTGTTGACCCCAATTGCAGATCACGACTTTGGAAACACTCACGAATGACATTTGTTCGCTTTTTTGCCATGTTGATCAGATCACGCCCTGACCGTGGTGAGAATTCGACAGCATAAACAACACCTTCCTAGAACTGCGTTCAATACCAGAGTTGTAACGATGAAGATGAAGAACGTGACTCACGGGACCAACAATATCTGCTACGTGACTGACACTCGTGCCGCTAGCAGCACCGAGGTATAAAACTTTCTTTCCAGGTTCAATGAAAATCTTATCCATACCGCCCAATACACCCGCCGCCAGCTTACTCCGGAAAGGATTCCATACACGATACTCGACCTTTGTGTCTTCGACGCCACCTTCGATGGATATCCGCTTCTCGCCATAAACACTTTCTCCAGGGACAAGGTTCTTTGTGACAAGTAGGTGGTCTTTCCCCTTGGCGATGAAGACACCTGGATGTCTATGAGGCTCGAGAATGACTTTCGCACCGCCCCTGGCTCCACCACCGGGGCCTCCACGACCTCGGCCACCACCACCCCTACCTCCTCCGCGACCTCCTCCACCTCGCCCGCGACTTTCAAAGCCTCCACCACGACCACCACCTAAAGAGATTGATCCAAAAAGATAAGATAATAAAGTGAAAAATCAACGTACCACGACCGCCTCCTCTACCGCCTCCTCTACCACCTCCTCTTGCTGCTCCTCCCCGTCCACCACCACCACCTCCCCCGCGTCCGCCTCCTCCTCTACCGAATCCACCGCGATTTCCTGATGCTCCTGCAAATCATAGATTAGACGAAGAACCCTGTCCAGAGGTTTTGTAAACAGTAGAAAAGACGTGAACATACCAAATGCCATTAAAAGTTGTGCAAATGACCTTGTAGCTTGGTCTTCAAAATTTTCGCAAACCTTGGTTTTCGATGTTTGTCCTTTGTTGGCAACTTGTGTGACTTTTCGTCACGCTCGCGTATAACTCACACCTTCATCACTCCTGGCCGAGTTCCGGGCCTGATATCAGGCCTTCGACTTCGACTTCATCAGATGCTGCGGTGTTTTTCAGACATGTGGCTGTCTAGCGGCATGAACAACGAAGTACTGCGAAAAATGCCTTACAACGTCTTGTGATACCACGGTCCGTCCGATTCCACCGGGTGCACGGCCAGTTCACAGCACTTCACATTTTGGGTCGTCCTCGTTCAACTCGCTTAATACTTCAAACCAACCCTCTAAACTGACTCGCTGGAGCAAAAGCTGCAGTTCTATCGAGATGTCGATGTCTTTGATATTTCTAACCTATTGTTCCGAGGCATACCATTGACTCACGAGAAGTCGGCAAAACAAGTTGCGGAGGGGTATGAGTCGTTGAGGGTTGGACGTTGATTGAGGGCACATTGGAAGGCACATTATAGCGATACACCTGCCGAGTACTTATGTATGTCTGAACCTAGTTGGATGTGCCAATTTCCCATGCCAAAACAAATTAGCGCGTCGAGCGTTGGGCTCCCCCTGGCCTTACTTGTGTTCATTGAGCAACTTTCATTCGAGACGTTTCTACCTATGGCCTGCATCATCTGAAGGCATCATATCGCACTCGACTCAATCTTCGAGTGCTCGATGAGCAAGGTTTGTGAAATTCCCCAACGATGATCTCACAACAACAAAGCAACTGACAACCTAGCTGTCGAAGCCCCCTCCAGGGGTTTTCCATGTCCGAGTCTGCATGTAATACCGACTCAGCAGCTGTCCCTAAAGGTCGTGTCGAACGAAGTGCCAGACAGTTTGCATCTCCCCTTCGTCCCCCGATCAGACTGCCGTACACACCAAAGAGCTCTGTGCTGAGCTTCAATGTACAAAACAAATTGTTGCAATAGTTTATTATTATGAACGTGACATGGAGTGTCGATAGTGCTCGGCACCTTGCACGAATCTGGTCGTATCCATTCTTTCTGTGCCTTTCTAGCGCACAGCGCCTCTGAGATTCGTTTCACGATCATTCAAAACTTGCCCCATAGGCGTCCCAGATGGAGGTGCCGCGCCAAAACCATCAATGCAACAGCGAATATAATGGTGCCACCTGAACAAGATCAACGTTCACTCAAAGATCGCGTGTTGATAGACTTGCCTGCATAATAACCTGCCTCAACAAACCCCGCTGTCGCAGTCCTGACGGCACCTGATATTGGGGGACCTGCAAGGCCTCCAAAAGCAATGAGGGACATAAACATTCCCACTCTACGCCCGGCATCTTCCATTGTTCCCATTGCCACGACAGGTGCGGAGAAGAGAGATACATATCCTCCATAGGAGAATCTGGATAAGGTGAGTTGGTAGCTAGCTAGGCTTAAATGTGACGCGTACCCGTAGATGGCGGCTATTGCAATGAGTTGGGATTCATTTTTAGCAAATGGCCAGGCGAACGACATAATTCCCGATACAATCGTGTAGGGCACCATGACGTTGAGTGCGCCTGTCAAAGTACCAACTCATCTTCCAATCATCCAAAGCTGTAGACAGTGTAGACATACCGACTTTATCAGCCATTAGGCCAGCCAACAAACGTCCAAACACAGATGTTGCATTGGCGATAGCGATCAAATAGAATGCAAAATCTTTTGGGACGCCAATTGCTACGGCGCTCACGGAGAGGTATGTGAGCACTGGTTAAAATATCAGAAGGCACAATGATGATCGCAACGATTATACCTGTGTAAAGTCCTAAAAGTGTCATAATTCCGGAAATGCAATAGGTGGTATATGCTTTGTTGCGGAATGCTTTGAGATTAAAGAGTCCCCCATGAACATTGCGGGGTGGAAGCCGTCGTTCTAATAACTGGTGAAAGTGCATCGGTCAAAGATCCATCCACAAGTGCTGACGAGTCACGACATACTATGTTGGCCATCCCCAGGGTAGCCATCAGAATGAAACCAAATACACGAACTGTCCATTTAAATCTGAAATTGTATGAACGCACATGAATTGTCACGCAATTGGTCGAACGAACCCGATTAATGGAATCAAATTTTGTGCCGCTACAGGAAACACGGTGCTACCGCACGAAGTCCCGATTGCGGCGACCGACAAAGCAAGGCCACGTCTCTTGGAGAACCAATGTGACACAATGACGAGAGTAGGGCTAAATATGATACCGCAGCCCACTCCCACACCGAGACCTTGTGCGAGAAAGAACTGCCAGTATTGAGTGCATTCCGCGGTTAGGAAGGTGCACGCAACGATAACGCAGCTAGCGACGAAGCACGGTATCTTGAAGTATCCTAGATCAAATAGTCGTCCCGTCGCAAGTGCTGGAAGATACACGAGTGCATACTAGCAGGATCCGTGAGCTACGCAAGCTTACTGGAACTCGAAATAAAAAACACCTGAATAGAACCGATCCATGCTCTGGAGAGGGTAATAGATCAGCCACAAAATCACATCAGACAAACCTAAAACCTTACATAGTCGAAGGAGAAAGGTGGCGTAGTAGATCTTCTTCGTAGTACGCTTGAAAGACCTGTAATATCGTAGGAACTGCAAGTGCACGATTCAGACAACAAAGCCTACTTACACCCCATGAATTCACAAAACCAAACCTGGTTGAATCTATTGAGTCAAGTTGGGAAAAGAAATCGAGAACAGCTTACGTAGAAAACGAAACTAATGCGACACTGTAATTCGAAGACGTCAGTGACTATTTCAACGAATTAAACGTGTACTTGCGCAAAAACCACAAGCCATGCCCTGAATCCTCCATCCGGTGCTTCACTAACATGTGTTACAAGCTTCCGAAAAGACTGCTTATCCAGTGTTTCCTGGTCATTTGGAGTGGTTGCTCTTGTCTTCTCATCGCAAGACAAGTGATGTCTGTCTTCAGACGCAGAGTCAATGCCCTGCAGGGCCTCTATACTTAGTGACTTCTCGGACATAGCCTCTCCTGCCAATACACAGAGAAGAGGTCAGAATCAGGAAAAGCAGGGGGGAAGGAGCGACTGTATTAGTATGTTCAAGTCATACTGCCGACGTTGTGTACATATAGTATTCTCCGGGACATGTGGCCCATTGCTACTGCCTATAGCAATTTGCAAAGCTTTGAGGGCCGGTAAGTGCTTTATTCTGTTCGTCAGCTGTGATGTGATGACGCACACCAATGCAAGCATCAGAAATTTGTAATTCCCGCTAGCTCCAGGTAGAGTGTCAGTTTTTCCAATCGTTTTGGCAGCGAATTGCTTCGAAGGGTTGCCTATTCGTATCCGGATCTCGGAACAAAATGGAATCATGCTTCTCATCGTGATTCCCGCTACCTTCAGGTAGTGGGTTTTGGGTTGGTTTTGGGGTGTCAGGTTTTCTGATCGTTTTGGCAGGGAATTGCACGATCCCTCTTCGTACGCCCGCATCTTATTCGAAATTTACTTTGTCATCATTTATGCTTGGTGCACGGTGCCGGGGGCGTGCCTTCGAAATGTCGTTCTTCATGATGTTGAAGGATGATCTGGCCCAGTCTCCTGTGGTTTGTCTGCACCTGCGTGTGTTTCTTTTAAAAGATTCTTTAGCTCTAGTGCATTATGCACGACGACGGGGTGGGGCGTACCTTGAACATTCACTGGACATGCTGGCCTTCGCCAGTCAACGGTAACACAAGCCCATCGTATTTAGTGCTTGCCAGTGAAATTACCCATACAATTTCAAGGCCGGACTTAATATTAAGTTAGTGCGACTTCTTATGACTCTCTTTCAGTGAAAAATCGTGTCGGAAGTTTCAGAATTCGGGTCACTCCCAGTTGGTTCCATAAACGCCCACAATTTCAAGTGCGCACTGGCAACCCCGTTGCAGTCAACCCAGTGGTTTGCGTCAAAGTTGAGGCGGGTCGTACTATAACAAATCATGCTGGGTAACCGGGTTATGCTGAGAAAGCCAGCAAGTGCAATTACTATTTTTGGTGGTTTAACACTTCAAGAGGTTCAGACCCCGTCCTACCCCGTCATGATCGTGAAAGTTTATATAGTTTTAATCTCAAACCACTCGCTGGCGCTTTCTAGAATAACTCAATGGATGGTCAAATCGAATACCATATAGCCTTCAGTGAGGTTCCAGGGGGCGAGAAACGGGACAATAACTTAATACCTCATATATAAATCGGCAGAATGGCATGAATATACCAGCACTGGTACAGTCGCTCCGTCCCCCCCGCTTTCCTCTTTTGATTTTGACCTCTCCGTATATCAGCAGGTCAAGTTATGACTGGCAAGAAGTCACTTAGCATAGAGCTCACTGAATTTGTGCCTGAAGCCTTACCGTACGATGGGTGGAAAACAAGAGCAGCTCTTCCGGACGACCATGAATCACTGAATGAAAAGGTTTCTCAGAAGCCTGTGATAGTACCTGTTGCTGGAGCACCAGATGGAGGATTGACCGCGTGGCTGGTCGTTCTTGCGTGAGTGCACGATAAATTATTTGAAATAGTCACTGACGTCTTCAGATTCCAGTGTCAATTTAGTTTTATTTTCTACGTGAGCTTGCTCCGTTTCTTTCCCTCTCAGCTCAGTTCAAGAAATTCCACCAGGATTGGGTTGGCAAATGCATGGGGTGTAAGTAAGGCCCGGCATCATATATTCACAGTTCCTACAATCACCCCCTTCAGGTTTTCCAAGCGTATTATGAAGAAAATCTACTAAGTCACACCGCTCCTTCGACTATGTAAGTTGCTTGGTCTGTTCGATGCAACCTTGTAATCGATTTATGTGCACTTTGGACTCTCCAGAGCGTGGATCGGTTCTACGCAGGTGCGTCAGTTGCTGCTAGTAGACCTGCGTAGCTCACGTGTCCTGCTGGTAGTACGCGCTCATGTATCTTCCAGCGCTTGCGGCAGGACGACTGTTTGATCTAGGATACTTCAAGATACCGTGCTTCGCCGCTAGCTGCATTTTCGTTGCGTGCACCTTCATAACCGCGGAATGCACTCAATACTGGCAGTTCTTTCTTGTGCAAGGTCTTGGCTTGGGAGCGTCCGGCGGTGTCATATTTGGTCCCGCAATTGTTGTCATCTCGCATTGGTTCGACAAGAGACGCGGCCTCGCTTTGTCGCTCGCCGCCATGGGGGCTTCGATTGGCAGCACCGTGTTTCCTGCAGCGGCGCAAAAATTGATTCCATCAGTCGGGTTCGTTCGCCTGAGCATGGACAATTTATGCTCCCTCATACAATTTCAGATTTAAATGGTCGATGCGTGTATTTGGATGTATTTTGGCTGCTACCCTGGGGATAGCCAACATAGTATGTTGTCAACACCTCTGGATATCCCTTGCTCTGACGCATTTCCTCGAGTTAATGAAACGGCGACTTCGACCCGCCAATGTTAGTGGGGGACTCTTCAATCTCAAAGCATTCCGCAACAAAGCATATGCCGTCTTTTGCATTTCAGGAATAATGGCATTTTTAGGCCTTTATACAGGTATGATCGTAGTGGTTATCACTTTGGCTTCCTGATGTTTATAACGGATTTTACCAGAGCTAACATACATCTCTGTGAGCGCCGTAGCAATCGGGGTCTCCAAGAATATTTCATTCTATATTCTCGCGATCGCGAATGCATCATCTACATTTGGTCGTGTGTCGGCTGGCCTAATAGCTGATAGAGTCGGTAAGTCTGGACAGCTTTGGACTATGATGACACGAGTTTATATTTGATAGGCCCACTCAACACCATGGCAGCTTTCACCGCTGTAGCGGGAATTACAACAGTTGCCTGGCCATTTGCTAAAAATGAATCCCAGCTCATTGTAATAACCGTCATCAATGGGTATGCGTGGCACTTGTTCATAACTAGCTACCAACTCACTCGATTCAGGTTCTCCGCAGGGGGATATGTAGCTCTCTTTACTGCGCCTGCCGTGGCAATGGGAGAGATCGAAGACTGCCGGGCGCCGAGTGGGAATGTTTATGTCCCTCGCTGCCTTTGGAGCTATTGCAGGTCCTCCAATATCAGGCGCCATCAGAACCGCATCAGAAGGGTTTGTTGACGCAGGATACTATGCAGGTACGTTTATCGAATGAGGGGTCTTCGTGTGAATGTTAATTTTGACTAGGTGGCATTATTATGTGTGCTGTAGGATTGCTACTTTTAGCACGATACCTACACCTCGGACGCTTACGGGGCAAGTGTTGAATGATCCATCCAGTGAAATGGATCAACAGCTCCGGTATTTCCGTTGCAGAAGAGATTATGGATATGACATATGGGCGCTGCGAACTACGAGTCACTTCTGTACGTTGAAACTAGGAACAGAACTCCTAGTTTTTCCAACGTGTTACCTCTATAGTGGTACAACTGCCTACTCTCTCCTAGACAGATCATAGACGGCTTCGACGACTGGCTTTTCTAATATAAGGTCTCGACTCATATTTGGGTAAACTCAAGGAGATTGACAGCTTCCGAGTCGTCCGCCTGCGGATTATCAGATTATTGGAGGTCGTATGCTAAGTCCTGTCCTGTCCTATCCTGTCCTGTCAAGATCTGTCATGTATTGCCCAATATGTTGCAGTAGTTCGTCTGGCAATTCACAAACATGATCATGAGGATCAGAGTTATTGAGGATGTGGATGCCCGCTCCACACTCAAATCGAGATCTTATTCATGTGACTGCTGGGGAAGTGCAATCGGAAGTTGGGCGGTCTTTTATCTCGCATTTGACCGAAACCTACCCTTTAAGATTCCTCACGCCTTTTGCAATGAATGGTGACTAGGTGACCGGGTTTGGGGGGGTCCATTAAAGTTGATGGTCGTCCAATTTGACCTGCGACAGTGTCATGATATGACCAGGAGTCGGGGAAACACGGAGTCTATGAGGGTACTGTGGGGACGCACAACTCACACTCGGGAGAACGTATTACGATGCATGGTCACATGATTCATAGGTTGCGATAAATAGTACAGGAGCACAGGCAGTGTAGGCTCGCTGCTCACGTTGGTGGAGTACAAAAAGACTGATTCCTGCTAACCAAAGGTTTCACCCGAGAATCCATGTAGACAAAAGCAACACTGGGAAAGCAGGAAATGTAGGCGACGGCGGAACTTTCTTTGCAACAACAGCTTTCTGTACCACAGGGATCGGCACCGATCTTGCTACTCGGGAACCCGTAGAAGAACCAGAACTACACGCCCACGGGGTGTTCCGCTGCTTTTGGCAGAACGCAGGTTGAGAGGGACCTGCGCGAGCCGGGAGACTGTCTGGTGGTCGTGGCGTTGGAGCATGAGCTGAATTTGTGCGGGATGACGAAGATCCAGCCGCCTGCGCGAAGACTGACGCACACCGCGTGGCAGATGCCGGCATAGCCCAATCCCACTACTTCCTGGGGTACGAAGTCGGGAAACTACTGACGTTGCTGCGATCTCGCTGTCAGATCTACCGCAAAATACCTCAATTTTGAATCCATTCCAAGAAGAGAGCAGATTGGATTTCTTCTTTTCTTCGTAACAAGTCGACGACAGCATTGACAATACCCGCAGCATGATCTAAATTTCTGGTAAGAACGTTTCATATAGTTGAGACGGGATCGCGGGCGATCGATTCGTTGAGACGGAATCCTCGGATAGCAGCCCCGTGTCGAGGGTCTCAGAAGTAGATTAAGGGATCATGTCAGGAGTGTAGGAAGAAAACAGCGCATCGGGTAAGTCGTGAATATCGCTGTTGTTTGAGGTTCCTACAACACCTCACCAGCTTCAAGAGTTGGCAGGTGGATATAGCGAAGCACCTTGCAAAACTGTACAGTTCAGTATCCTATTAAGCGCTCTCAAGCGCAAAGCACGGACATGACACGTCTGTGGTTGACGTTGCACACTGATACCAAATAATATTTGACAGGCTCTACACAGATCCAACATATTGCTGCATCGTCTGTGGTTTCTGGAATCTGTAGCAGACGTGACTTCGTTCTGAGTGGATTGACTGGCAACCTGACTGGCAACGTTGGGGTCATTTGGTGCGGCTGCACTTGCAAGCTCGAATCTTTGCGGCCTCATGATTTACTACCCTCTCCGCGATGACTGCTTTGACCTGTGTCCGCCTAGCTTGCTGCCGCGCTTGTTTGATAGGAAGTCTGCGTGTTTTCCATGATGTCGATGGTCTCGAAGAAAATGAAACGAGGAGTCCTTGTGCGGGATCATCTCGGGAAGGAAGAAAACAGCGCATCGGGGGAAGTCGTGAATATTGGCGTTTGTCTGAGGCTCCTAGAAAATCCCACCAGCGTAGGTGAAACTAGGAAATCCGTAACGCACCATGCAAAAGTGCAGTCCAGCTTCTTGTAAACCGCTCTCGGGCACCGTGGAGCGCAGATATGCCTAGTGTTGTTGGCAATACTGCGCCATTGCCAGTTGTGCCGGCACTTGGTCAAAACTCAGCTCAACCCCCTACAATCAGCATCTGGTGGTTGCCAAGGTCGGGCAGCATACCACGTGACTGTGTGCCCGAATGTTGCGATCGCCGATTGCATCCTTGGAAGTCCTTTAGCCGAGCTGCAGGCTTCGGATTTACCACCGCCCCGGGTAAGTAATTGATTTGCGTCAAAGTTGAGTGGGTTAACTTAGTATGCTGAGAAAGCCAGCAAATCTTGAATTACTATTTGCGGTACTCAATCTACCCTGCAGAGTATGATGACCCTTGTTCAACAAAAATTCAAACGTTTATATATTATACCCAGCCAATGGTCATCGTCACTGTGACCTTAAAATGGTGACATAACACATTTTTAGTCTCCGCGCTGGCGCTTCCCAGAAGAATGGATGGTCGAACCGAATACCGTATCACCCAGTCAGTGAGGTTTCAGGGAGCAAGAAGCGGATAATAATTTAATACCTCTGCATATATATGACATCGGCAGAATGGCATGAATGATACCAGTACTAGTACAGTCCGTTCCCCCCGCTCTCCTCTTTTGATTTTGACCTCTCCGTACATCAGCAGGTCAAGTTATGACTGCCAAGAAACGGTCACTTAGCATAGAGCTCACTGAACTTGCGCCTGAAGTCTTGCCGTACGATGGGTGGAAAACAAGAGCAGCTCTTCCAGACGACCAGGAATCACTGAATGAAAAAGTTTCCAAGAAGCCTGTGATACCTGTTGCTGGAGCACCAGATGGAGGATTGACCGCGTGGTTGGTCGTTCTTGCGTGAGTGCAAGTAAATTATTTGAAATTTAAATAGTCCCTGACGTCTTCGAATTATAGTGTCAATTTAGCTTTATTTTCTACGTGAGCTTTCTCAGTTTCTTCCTCAGCCTAGTTCAAGAAATTCCACTAGGTTTGGGGTGATCAATGCATGGGGTGTAAGTAAGGCCCGGCATCATATATTCACAGTTCCTACAATCCCCCCTTCAGGTCTTCCAAGCGTACTATGAAGAAAATCTACTAAGTCACACCGCTCCTTCGACTATGTAAGTTGCTTTGTCTGTTCGATGCAACCTTGTAATCGATCTATGTACACTTTGGACTCTCCAGAGCGTGGATCGGTTCTACGCAGGTGTGTCGGTTACTACTAGTAAACCTACGTAGTTCACGTGTCCTGCTAGTACGCGCTCGTGTTCCTTCCAGCGCTTGCGACGGGACGACTGTTTGATATAGGATACTTCAAGATACCGTGCTTCGCCGCTAGCTGCATTTTCGTTGCGTGCACCTTCATAACCGCGGAATGCACTCAATATTGGCAATTCTTACTTGTGCAAGGTGTCGGTTTGGGAGCTTGCTGTGGTACCATAGTCAGTCCCGCACTTGTTGTCATCTCGCATTGGTTCGACAAGAGACGCGGCATTGCTTTGTCGCTCGCCGCCGTTGGATCTTCGATTGGCAGCACCGTGTTTCCTGCAGCGGCGCAAAAATTGATTCCATCAGTCGGGTTCGTTCGCCTGAGCATGGACAATTCATCCTCCCTCATACAATTTCAGATTTAAATGGACGATGCGTATATTTGGATCGATTTTGGCTGCTACCCTGGGGATAGCCAACATAGTATGTCGTCAATACCTCCGGATGTCCCTTGCTCTGACGCATTTCCTGGAGTTAATAAAACGGCGGCTTGGACCCGCCAATGTTAGTGGGGGACTCTTCAATCCCAAAGCATTCCGCAACACAGCATATGCCGTCTTTTGCATTTCAGGAATAATGGTATTTTTAGGCCTTTATACAGGTATGATCGTGGTGATCATCACTTTGGCTTCCTGATGTTCATAACGAATTTTACCAGAGCTAACATACATCTCTGTGAGCGCCGTAGCAATCGGGGTCTCCAAGAATATTTCATTCTATATTCTCTCGATCGCGAATGCATCATCTACATTTGGTCGTGTGGCGGCTGGCCTAATAGCTGATAGAGTCGGTAAGTCTGGACAGCTTTGGACTATGGTGACACGAGTTTATATTTGATAGGCCCACTCAACACCATGGCAGCTTTCACCGCTGTAGCGGGGATTACGACAGTCGCCTGGCCCTTTGCTAAAAATGAATCCCAGCTCATTGTAATAGCCGCCATCAACGGGTATGCGTGGCACTTGTTCATAACCTTTCATAACTAGCCACCAACTCACCCGATCCAGGTTCTCCACGGGGGGATACATAGCTCTCTTCACTGTAGTTGCTGTTGCCATGGGAGAGATCGAAGACGCCGGGCGCCGAGTGGGAATGTTTATGTCCCTCGCTGCCTTTGGAGCCATTGCAGGTCCTCCAATATCAGGCGCCATCAGCACCGCGTCAGGAGGGTTTATTGACGCGGGATACTATGCAGGCACGTTTGTCGAATGAGTGGTCTTTGCGTGGATGTTAATCTTGACTAGGTGGCGTCACTATGTGTGCTGTAGGATTGCTACTTTTAGCACGACACCTACACCTCGGACGCCTACGGGGCAAGTGTTGAATGATCCATTCAGTGAAATGGATCAACAGCTCCGGTATTTTCGTTGCAAAAGAGATTGTGGGTATGGCATATGGGCGCTCCGAACTACGAGTCACTTCTGTACGTTGAAACTAGGAACAGAACTCCTAGTTTTTCCAACGTGTTACCTCTTTAGCAGTACAACTCCCTGCTCTCCCCTGGACAGATCATAGATGGCTTCTCCGACTGTGGCTTTTCAAATATAAGGTCGTATAATTGGATAAATTCCAGGAGACTGACAACTTCCGAATCCTCCGCCTCCGGATTATCAGATTATTGGAGGTCGTATGCTAAGTCCTGTCCTGTCCTGTCCTGTCCAGTCGTGTCAAGATCTGCCACGTATTGCCTAACGTGTTGCGGTAGTTCGTCTGGCAATTCAAAAACATGAATGAGGAATCAGAGTTATTGAGGATACAAGTGCCCGTTCCAAACTCAAATCGAGATCCTATTCATGTGACTGTTGGAGAATTGCAGTCGGAAGTCGGGCGATCTTTCTTATTTCGCATTTGACCGAGACTTACCCTTCTCTGACAGTATTTAAGGAACGGAACATTTGATCCCGCGGAACCATTCGCGTCCACCTCGCGTGCGCGCTCCACGAGCTCCCACCTGTCAACTGCCTTTTGCAATGCAATGGTGGTCATAGAAGTTGATGGTTGTCCAATTTGACCTGCGACAGCGTCATGATATGATCAGGAGCTGGAGAAAGCACGGAGTCTATGAGGGTACTGTGGGGACGCACACACTCCTCGGGACAACTGCACAGTTGGTATCACGACGCATGATCACATAGATCATAGGTTGTTGGCAGAGTTTGGTGACTGCGTAGAAGGATGCCACGCTCGCCGCTCATGCTAGCAGAGTGAAAAACAGGATTGGAGTCGCAACCAAGCTTTCAATATTAGCAAACGACAAATATTCCCCGTCTCTCAGCTAGAATAGACGCAAGATGGAGCCGCGACTACGCCTCTACTCAGGTCGGGAAAGAACCAAGAGTAAACAAAGTTTGCTTCTGCTTCCCTTTCCCTTTCTTCCCCCTTCCACCAGCCGTCTCTTTAGCTTCACCGAGAACAACACTACGATCATCTGGTGTCTGGGTACCACTCCCGCTTCCTGTGCCATTGCTCTTCCAAGCAGCGACAGTCGGAGCAGTTTCACCCAGAATGTTTCGGAGGGACTGATTCCCACTAACCGTAGGTTTCATCACCCGAGAGTTACCAGACGAAGGCAACACTGGGAAAGCAGCAGATGTAAGCGACGGCGGAGGCGGACCTTTCTTTGCAACAACAGCTTTCTGTACTGCAGGGGTCGGCACCGATTTTGGTGCTCGGGAACCTGTGGTAGGAGAACCAGAACCAGACGCCCACGGGGTGTTCCGCTGCTTTTGGCGGAACGCAGGCTGAGGAGGACCTGCGAGGGTCGGGAAACTGTCTGGTGGTCGTGGCGTTGGAGCAGGAGCCGAATTTGTGCGGGATGACGAAGATCCAGCCACTTGTGCAACGCGATCCCAGACATGTCTCGAAGACTGTGACGCAGACCGCGTGGCAGTAGCATGCTTCGCGTTCAAGACGCGACCGGATGTAATGCCGGCATAACCCGATCCCACTTCCTGGGGTACGAGATCAGGAAACTGCTGACGTTGCTGCGATCTCGCTGTCAGATTCACCCCAATATATATAGGGATTAACAAAATACCTCGATTTTGAATCCATTCCAAGAAGAGAGCAAATTGGACTTCTTATCTTCTTCGTCAAACAAGTCGACAATGGCATTGACGATACCCGCAGTATCATCTAAATTTCTGTCAAGGACGTTCCATATGGTTGAGATTAGATCACGGGCGGTCGATTCGTTGAGGCGGAATCCTCGGACAGCAGCCTTGGCAGCGAGTACCGCGGTGGTGGGGTTTGGTGCAACAGACTGTAACCGTGAAATGAATGCTGCATGACGCCTATGGTGGAGTGAGAATAAATCAAAATCCCAAAAAATATGCTTACTGAGCAACAACGGGATCAACGTCCTCTCCGTTCTGCTGGGGGGATGGTGACGCTCGTCGGCTAGCTCCGGATGACTGCGGTGTTTGGGCTCCATTTGGCGCAGGAGAGCTGGAAGTCAGATGGGCACCAAAAGCTTCCCTGCGTCTCGCCACCGCCCTAGGCTGCGCAGGCGGCGGCGACTCAAGTTCTCGTTCCCGGTCCCGTCTTCCTCTACGCCCACCAGAGGCATCCCCAAACTCAAACGCAGCTTCAACCCGCTGAGTATTCTTCTTATCCCGCGAGGACATCTCCGCACCATGCACTTCAACTTGATGCGCCTTAAGATCGATCGCAGATCCAAACACAACGAATTTTTGAGCCTGACAAGCAGGTTTCGAACACGCAAAATGCGCTTGATCAAAATGTTGTTCCTGACGAGGAATCACTACGAGTTTCAATGCAGTCAAAAAGATCGTACGAGAGCCTCATAGTTTTGAAAACTAGACAGCAACAGCGCTCCATCAGCACAAAGCAGGAATAGACGAACGGCATCAAAGAAAACTAACTATTGATCTCGTATTTCATTCCGCTTGCATATGAAGCATTCTTCATGTCGTTCGCGCATATGCACATACATTTCGTCATCACTGAAAAAGCATTCTTTGCAGAACACGCATAACGGATGTATGCCGCCTTCTATCGGCTCTTTCGTGATCGTCACCTGTTTGTGAGACCGATGAGGTATTGATGGTAAATGTAAAGGCAGGATGTTCGAAGTGTACAGAGCATGCTCGTGACTGAAGACCTTCTTGAATCGAATGCAAAGATCACTTGCAAGGGACAACAAAAGTCCACGCTCAGTGTATACAATTAGGTGTTGGGTGCACGTACCACATCATCTTCCCGTGGGCACCTCGGACGTGTAGTTTGAGATCGCCCCATCCAGTCGCGGTGTAATCGCACTGCGAATCAGGGCAGTTAAATCGTAGGAGGATGAGCGTCTCTTCCATCATGTCGTTTGTCTCGAAGTAGATTAATAACTTCGAGTCTTTGTAAGGGATCATGTCAGGAGTGTAGGAAGAGAACAGCGCATCGGGGGAAGTGGTGAATATCACTGTTGTCTGTGGTTCCTACAAGACCCCACCAGCGTCAAAAGTTCGTTGGCGAAACTATATAGCAAGACCAAAACGCACTTTGCAAAACGTACAGTCCAGCTTCTTATAAAGCGCTCTCAAGCGCAAAGCACAGACATGACATGTCCGGTGGTTGCAACCCGATACCGCATAGTATTTAACGGGCTCTGCGCAGATCCAGCATACTACTGCGTCGTCTGTAGTTTCTGCAGCAGACGCGACTTCTTTCTGAGTTGGTTGACTGGGAACTTGACTGGGAACGTTGGGGTCATTTGGTGCGGCTACACTTGAATCCTTGCGGCCGCGGGATTTACCACCTCCTCCGCGATGACTGCTTTGGCCTCTGTATCCGCCTCGTTTGCCGCCGCGCCTGTTTGATGGAGAGGTCTGGGTCTGTGTCTGGGTCTGTGTCTGGGTGGCAGTTGCTGTAGACATGATTAGGTGAGGGATGTAAGAAGATGCTGCAGAGATAGGATGAGCAAGCAGCTTTAGCGTGTATGAAACGTTTTGTCTCCACGTGATCAAGTCATGTTCTGAAATCCTGGCGGTTCCGACTCCAACTGTTTTGGTCTATTTACTATTTTAAACTCTTTACAGCCTTTTACCACCCTTTCTGTAGTGATGTGCATGGCCGCCGTGGGCCAGCCCAAGCCGGGCCAAAATCACGGCCTGACCCGGACAGCTTTAAGCTGCAACTTGTACTAAGCGTGAGCCAAGGTGAGCTTTTACTGACCCGTGACCTTCGAATGTGACATACATTCTTACGCCCTCACTCGCGTAGTGAGGCTGCAGTTCAGTTCAGAACCTAGGTTCGAATGCGAGCGCCTTGTAACAGGTAAGTAGTTGTATCACTGATAAAAGCTAACTACTTTATTACAGGCGAACTCAACGAGCGGGTGTCATGGACTACTTCAACGTCTCTCCTCGCTCGATCAATGTCTTGGTGGGCATATTCAACAATCCCTTTGGTGCTGCTGGCGGTTATGTCGCAGGGCCAAAACCACTATTGTTCAAGTTGTGGTCTTGACATCTCCTGCTGCCTCCGCTATCTCTTGCTGGCTGCCTACTCCCACCTCCACACGCTCATTTGCGCATGTCTGCATTTATCCGCACCCATTTTGGTACATCTGCGCTGCTACTCATCTGCATTCATTTGCATTCGGTTGCCACTTGTTCGGACTAGTTCGTGCTTCTTCAGATGCATCAGTGCTCGTCCACATTTGTGGGCACTTTGTTGTGTATGTTTGTGTTTGTCCCGGTCTGCCTAGTAGAGTTCCCCCGATCTCGTGCATCACTGAGTTTCTACCCTGCATACTCAGTCAAGTTGACAAGTGTCCTGAAGGTCAATCTCAGTCTGCAACATCAGCAGCCCCCATCCAGTTGACGGTCGCGGCACTATGTACTAACCAGCAGTCTTCCCCTGCTGCAGCCACTGGGTGACTGACGCAGTCATGTGCGCAAATTTGTGGATCTAGCAAGATCTCTTTGATAGACACTCAATATCATTCGCATCTGTCTAAAAATTGTTTAAACTGTTTACTATATGTCTACATACTATTTAGGTCTATTTACTAGACATAAACTAAACAGTTGGAGCTCTACGTCGGACGAAGTGTAAGAGCTCGAAGTTCCAAGCGGTGTATCCAACGATCTTCTAAGTAAAAGACCAAGCAAAAAAGTCCCAGCCCCGTATATATCATACAGAGCAATAAATCAAGCACTTGTCACTAAAACAAACGCGTGATCATAAAACTCATCACTCGACATCACTTTCATTACCACCCTGACCCTGTGTCTGTGTCTGTGTCTGGCCAATGCCAGTCGCAGTCCCGTTCCAAAGCGGGGCCGTCGCAAACCTATTCTGACTCCTCCCTCCCCCGCCCTTCACAGGCGACATCCCAGGTACGCCCAGCGACGACCCCCTAGACCCAATACCCAACGAATACATCATTGATATCGTTCGCTGACGCTGTCCCACTCCCACTCCTGGCGCAGCTCCCATCCCAAGCCCCGCATATACAGGCACATGTGGGTCCGCAGTTAACGGCATAGGAATCCTCAACTCTAGCCCTGCAAGCGATGGAAGCTGCTTCGTGATCATCGACGGCGAATGCCTTAATTGCGGGGAAGTCATCACTGAACCGAATGTAGGCTGGCTTGGGGAGGGTGTAGATGAGCGGGGGAGGAGGCCTGCTGTCCACCCAGACCAGGTTTTATTCTCTCCCAGTCCCAGTCCCTCATCTCCTCCCTTCTCGTCGTTGTCGTGAAGCTGGAGCTCATGCACAGCACGCTTGATAACAGCTACATCATGCTGTACATCCCCAAGCTTCCCCTCAAGCCTCTCACGCGCCTTACACACGCTTTCAAGCGTCCCATCAACAAACGCCCGCGTCTCTTCGAGGGCTGAATCTGAATCTGAGGAAAGAGCACCTGGGACTGTGAGGAGGGTTTCGAAGCCGCGGATGGCGAGTGATTCGTCTGTGATGCGGATTTCGAGCTCGACTCGAGCGTCTTCGGTGTAGTCTGAGATGCGCTCTAGCACGGTACGGAGAAGGGAGTGTGGAGAGGGGGAGGGTGTCGAGGCAATGGGAGGGAGCATGCGTTTGAGATCTTTGAGCGCGAGGGAGCAGTCACGGAATGCATGTTGAAGGGCGTCGTAGCGGTGGTTGACTTTGTTGAGGGAGCTTAGCAATGACGAAATTTCGTCGGGGAGTTGTGGTTGGGGGATGATGTCGACGGTAGAATTGTTGGGTTCATCAGCTGGGGAGACCGCTTTGACTTCTAGCGTTGTAGCAGCTGGTGTAAAGAAGACACCTGAATCCTCGTGTCTTTCTGGGAAATTTTCTTCTTGGCTTGTAGTATTCGTTGGGGAAGGGGGCAATTTAGCATCCTTGGTATTGGGATTTCCGTCCGTGTCATTGAATGCGACAGGCTCTATCGCCACCTCATCCACGGAAGCCAAAGGTGTCCGCAGCTCGGCAGACGGCAGCGAAATACTTGCCACTTCCCCAGAGGGCGTCTGCGTCAGATCGAGGATTGAGACCGCAGGCGACTGACTTGGGCCAACGGGTAAATCATCGATGAGAAGCAACCGGGAATTTCCAGGCGTGGTATCGCGTACAACGGGCGAGGGTGTACCCTCGATGTCTCGGTGTCCATCTGCTGGGAGATCGAGATTAGGCGAGGGTGTACCCTCGGTGTCCTTGTGTCCCTCTACTGGGAGACTTGGAAGAGGGGTAGGTGTCTGTGGAGAGGGTTTTGCATCCTGGGTATGTGGGATATCAGTGTTTGCGTCCGTTGTTAGTTCTGCGTCCTGTGTATGGGGATGTTCTGCAACATCAACGGGAGCCTGTCCTGAGACAGAGTCTAATTTTTCGGAGACTGAAACGGACGGTTCGTGGACAGCCTCATCCAGAGGCTCCACGCCTAAAGAGAATCTTCGCTCGGCAGCGACCCTTCTCCCCACCTCAACCCCAACCTCCTCACTCATCCTCATCACGGCGTCCTTGGCAAGAATCAGCCTCCCAAGCACACCAGGAACCTTGCTTCCATCGTCCAAAGCCACTTCCGCATCCAGCGTCATCAAAAGACCCTCCGCATCCTTCACTGCACGCTCAAAGGTCGCATACATCTGTATATCTGCGTCTGTACAGCGGTGAATTCCTTCCTGGGCTCTTCGAACCCATCTTCGTAAAGCTTCGCCGAGCGCTTCTTCACGTGCGAGCAGTGCAAGGCGCAGGGAAATCTCCCTTCGTCGGCCGTATGCTTCTCGGGTGACTTCTTCACCTAGTTCTTCTAAAGCGTCGCGAAGACGTGCGTTATCGGTCATATGAGAGTGCAGCCGTGCTTCGCTATCGTTGATTGTAGATTGGAGAGTATGCTGGGTGGCTGCATTTCGTGCTTGCAAAGTCGTAAGAGTGGACTGAAGAGCGTTAGTCTGCGACTGGGAGAATTTCCTGTACATTGTTCGAGTTTGAAAGACATAATATGCGCCTGGGGGGCACGTACATGTATCGCGAAACCATCTTAGCTGCGGTTGTATCGTCCAGCTTTAGTTTCTCGAGCTCTAACTGTGCTTTCGCGAGTTGAGCACGGTCTTGAGAGGCAGATTTACGCTCTGCTTCGAGGGTGCTCTCCAAGTTCGCGATCTCGTTGCGGAGCTGGGTAATCGTCGTTTCATGCTTCTCGTTCAAGGAAGCAAATTCGCTCATGAGGCGATGTAAGCTTGATTTACCCTCATGGAGACCCTCGACGAGGGTGAGAGAAGAGGCGGACGCTGATCCGTTTTGTAATGCACTCCCATTACCAAGAGAGCTCTTCCTGCCATCGAGACTCCGTACGAGATCGGCATATTCGCGCACTACGAGCTCTGTGAGCCTGCGTTCTTCCTCTGCGGCGTGAACACGCGCAGACAAGCCGCGTTCACGGATTTTGCCTTCTTCTTCGCGTGCTCGAGCACTTGCGGCGAGCTTGTACGCGCCGTCTGCATCGTGTCGCGCTTTCTGGGCTTCATTACGGGTGCTGATGAGTTCGGCTGTCTTCTCCGCTAAAGCGTGTTCTGTTAGGTCGAGTTTCTCAGAAGAGCGTCTGAGGGCAAGAGTGAGTTCCTGGACGACATGGGTATCGGATTGAGAGTGGGGTGAGGGAAGGGGGTGAGCGCGGAGGGTAGCTAGCTCAGACGCGAGTACAGAATGTCGGGATTCGAGGAGATGTAAGTGGTCATTTGTGTGAGCTGTAGATAGTGCATGACGCTGGAGTTTCAGCGCAGCTTGATGTGCTTCATGCTAATGAATGGTCAGTGCGTTCAGGTAAGTGACGTGTATTCATACCTGGAATCTCGCGGCTGTTTGTCTTAGACTGGATAGTTCAAGGACGAGTGGGTGGTCGTCGTTGAGCTCGTTCTGCTCTGTGCTCATCGTCTCCCTCGATGCTTACCACGAGTGGGAGTTACGGATGATTTGCAATGGCTTCTATTTTTGGATGAGTGCAAATAAAGGACAACATGGTGAAAGGATTCGGAAGCGCCTTTGACTGTGACTGTCAGGACTGTTCAACGGACACAAGTTATCTCGTCGCTGTTAGGTGCGTTGAGCTCGATTGTACATTGTTGTTTTTGGTGCTTATACAGACTATTCAGCCTAGAATTCAGTAGGATAGAGGGACTTGCCAATTTGTTTTGTGGGATAACTGATTGCTGCTCGCATGAGTGATCGCAATACAACAATGACAGCCACGTCGCCGCTATATCTTGCTGGACCCGGACCCGAACCAGCCGATTATTATCAACACCATCATCACCAACATGCTCATCCTCATGCACCTTCATCAATCAATCTGAGGTGCTCCTACTGTTAGTCTTCAGTTCGCTTTCACTGCACACTAGCTAGAGGAGGCTATCATGAAGGAAATGAATAAATGAGGTGGTTACACTGAAACAACTTGTGCACCACACCGACCCGGAGGGCAACGAAGCATCAAGCGTTCGTCTCATAGGTTAGCTCATAGTCCGTACTCGCTTTAGACTATAGCCTACACTGTCTTTCGAATTTCGAACTTGGCCGCCTTGATTACTAGGGACTTGCCAGTAACGAAGTCCTTATCAGTGGCCTTTGAGCGACTTTCATATTTGAGTGTTATGACGGAAGCCCTTAGTCAATGACATGAATGGAGCTATTTTTAACTCCTTCTGCACACTATTATTCTAATTCCTGTGGGTCTGCGCTAACGATTCATTTGATAGGTGGCAGTCACGATTACGGACGATATCATACAGACAGGACCAGACCCTCACCAACCCCCTTCTCATTACCCTGGATTCCGGAAAAACTCCGACATCCCTATCATTACGGAAGGAACCTCACTCGATGCTTGACGATTCTTGCGACGTCCCCGATAATCCGAGTCGTGATAACCACGACACACTTATGGGCGCTCAATCGATGTTCTCGTTGCTCGAGCAGATGGAAGCCTGGACTCATTAGGACTTGAATAAGATTGGTGCCGAAGTTCGCGTGATTCCATTATGAGGCAAGCATCCGTGATAAACGCGCGGAGTTATGCTTGAATGCTAGTCAGCACGGGTCTCTCCATAAATATCACGAGCCCCGCCGTTGCGCCGCGTCATGAAGTGCTCAATCCAGGGTGCACATGGGCCATGAGGAGGACGAGGATCCGAAATTGAGCGTTGCTGTTTCACGGCTAGAAAGTAAATCTTACAGTTGGGAGGTCTTGACGCGCCGAAAACACGAATTCGAACATCTCTCCAGCCATACCGCAGAACAGCCTTCACCCGTGTGCATTGTGGAGTCCAAGGGTTTCCGAGAGGCGAACTTTTTTTATCCAGGGGCCGTTACTCACGTATGGCAGGCACACGGTACGTTCTTGTCAGTTCCGTGACTTCTCGCGTGACATATCGTCTGACAAAGTAGGATAGGGTTTAGAACTGAGGGCGGCGATATTCAGACGGTGCCTGTATTGTAACATGGAAGCCAGCTGGTATCCGTCGGAGACCAAGAGTAAGATCAGCCGTGCGAATACTTTGGGGGAAATCATTAATATGTGCTGGTTTTAGATACATGGCACATACTGGTGATGACAACTTGTTGCTTTTCACCTCGCCCGGGTCCTGGGTGTGTTCTGGGTGGCTTGGCTCCTCATCCAAGGGTGGAGGATCACCAAGAGGATTCAATACGAAGCTCGACATCTGATAAATGGGAGCTCAATGATGGATATAAATTAATTATCGACAGGGTAAGATAACAGATTACGAAGGAGGGACTACAGTATACACATGGCACCCACACCGCGATACGATGTGCAGCGCTGATGTCTTGGAATGTCCTGGAGCCGAGGCCAGCAGGCAGAAGCGACTCGCGGAATATCGAGCGGCCCATAGATTCATTGATGAGCGTCAGAATTCAACAACACTGGCGCGTTGTAAGGTGCGACATTGATTAAAGTAGCCGAAACGATTAGGTAGGGCATTCCACACTTTCGAATATCGTGAGGCTGATGGTACTGAATACCAGAAAAGCAATAAACATGTGCACGTAGATCAGGCCATCGTCGAATGGAACGAGCGCATACTCCTGTAAGTTGTCCTTCATCCCGTCTTTCATGTAAGGAATTAAAAGGGTTCTAGGTCCATCAGCAAATGTGCACATGCTCTGGCAGCATCTGGAGTGGCTGGATACAGACTCTCCAGAGCGCCAGCCCTGTCTATGGACCCAGATAGAACCCGTCAGTAACAGACCGACATTTCTGGACACAGGCCAGACACAGTGACCAACCAGACACTAACCAGACACTAACCAGACATCAACCCAGATCATCAAACAAGCCATTACAGGCTGGATACCATTTGCGACATTCTATTAGCAGACATCCTCTGTACCTAGCTAGGCTCACGCTACCCTCTACTCGTTGTCCTCATCCTCGTCATCCGAGATCGGGATATTCGCACTTCGGGTCAGTGTGTATGCCTCATTTGAAATTGGTCCCATGCTCGGTCATGGAGAACTCCTCCGCACATTTGGGGTCTCCGTAGGAGAATTACTAGATCGCAGTGACAATTCACGTCGTCCGTAGGTTCTGTTGTGAATTGTGCTTGTCAGATGTTGACAGAATCGTAACAGCGCTCGGCCGCGCCAGTCCCCGACACCTAAGTAATCTGATAGCGGCGCCTACTAGTCCCCAACTATATAGACCACTAAATTTCATGTACATTTTATAACGCTCCAATTTTCCGACCGAATCAATAGCTGGGCTGTAGCGCCAACATTCTGTCATGCATATCAGTCCAGCTCGAACTTGATCTATTGAATTTTTAGTGGCTGGATTCAATATCAATACAATCTAATATCATACATACTATACAGTATATGCATAACTGACGCATATCGGCTCGGCCTCCTTCCTCGGCCAGCCGACATACTCCCTGTGACTTACTTCAGCAGGTCCTGCTCCTCTTGTGCCCGATATTAACACGTGTCAGAGAAACGGACACGGTCTGTGAACACCGTCACGCGAAATATTTTCGACAAAACCCTTCTACCACTAGATGTGGGTGTCGGGGAATATTCAGCACATAAAAGCAAGCTGTCTTCCTACTGTTCCATTCAGATTTATTTGATCCTATATCACATCCTCACAAGTAATGCGGTTCTCCTTTGTCCTTGCCGTTGCTGCTGCTTTGACAGTATCAATATCTGCAGCATCAATACCTGCCAGTGACCCTGATATTGCAAAATGTCCTACATTTTGCTCGGAGGATAGCCACTGCTTACACTGCTCGCTGTCCTTATGCGTGAGTATGAGTATTTTGCGTCCTGGAACCCCATGACTCACCGGCATGGTAGCTCGTTTTTTGCTTGTGACAGAGGTGGTAGGGCTTCTTTTTTGTGCGTCAGAGGTGGCGGTGAGTCGTGTTTCTGCTTTCACATAGGTGCAGTATGGTTGATGGCACGAGTAGTTCGTCGCTGAGTTGATCAATGTGTTTGCTTCTGAACAAATTTCACTGCCGCTCGAACAATAGAGATCATGGGATAGCTCTAGAAAATCTCACACTTGAATACATAGATTATGATTGAAGTACTTACGACGTAGTTTTGTAGTCTCGTTGCAAGCTTGAAGGCTCGCTTTTAAATGCTGCGTTTGTTAATTGATAAGGTTCGGCCGGAATACTATGATGTCGAGTACCTCATTTAGGGTCACTGCTGGCTACAAAGTCGACGGAGAGTGAGCACCTGTTTGCGCACACGATAAAACGCGACGCATCGCGCCGACAAATTTTTGCGGACACAGATATCTCATCCTCCCGCGCGAAATGTCATCAGCCATTCGGAATCGCATGGAGAAGCACAAAGATCACCATGACACTTACGCTAGTGCGACAGGTCCGTCGATTTGTTGCAAGTCCGTTGACCGCCAGCTGGTTATTTGCTTTGACCATGTGGATCATTCAAAGCGGCTGTTGCCAACTGCGGGAGTGACATGATCCACGCGGATGTGAGCGACTGATGGCTCTTCTCACACAGAAGATCGATCTCCCTTTCATTAGGGTATAGGGGTTTCTCTGTAGTTTTATAATCGGACATACCGCCGGCACTCCTGTGAAAACACACGCATATGACTGATGATTATACTGGTCCCTGGAATCTTGTATTTCGAGTGTCTCATCTTCTTGAGACGAGGATAAGCCAAACTCGACGTGAAATTAGGCCTCAGAAAGGCGGATTCAAGGTTAGTTCCTGGATTGCCCTTCCGTTCGCTGTTGACTAACAGAAGGTTAGCCCGCTCAGAATACCATCACTCACACCTCGAGCCTGGGATATTTTTGAGTTATCTCGGGAAGCCCTGGAGTGCTGTAGAATCATGATGCGATGGGTGTGCTACTTTCTCAATTCCGTTATTCGTCACTGAGTGGTGTTGCTAGAAAATTTGTGCGTGCAGATTTCGATGTGCGTTATCTGGTACAGTACATATGTACAGCTTAAGGGAAGGCTGACTACGTGCCTTCGCCATTTATTCGAAAGGGATACACTTGAAGTCGATGTATATTTGCAGATATGTTGCGTTAACATTTGCATCCACAACCTTGTAAACTGCATGTAGGAGGCATTACGCTAGTTACGAAAGATTCCTCCCTGGCTGGTCATGGTAGTATCTCGTAAAGTACATATGATATCGACTTGGATCCCTGGGTAATGCTGTATCTACATGCAATGCGATCTACTGCCAGCCTATTATCATCATTCCGTGAACTGTATAAAGACTGCGTCTCATCTAAAGGATTTACTATCGGAATCGCGCACTACTTCGAGGGAAGGAAAAAGGACAATATATCCCGCACGCTCCTCATCCGTCAACGTCGCTGGACGACCGCTGAAAATTAGGCTCTCCAGGGGACACTTTGACCGTAGCAAGAATGCCTTGAACTGCTCATGAGGCCATGTGGAGCGAGAGCGAGCTTCAAACACCCGTAAATTGGGGAGTGATAGAACATCGAACAGGTCGGATAAAGGGAGCACATCCCGTGAGTGCAAACTGAAGCGTATGGATCGGATTTCGCTGTGCGTGAACGGCTCCAAGGTTGTTGTCCGGTTAAATCCACTGCGAACCGTTAACGAGGAGAGGTTGGGACATAGCTGGAGCAAGTGGAGGAATACATTCGGTTGACATATGGCGATCACAATATTTGTGAGGTTGACCCATACGGGATTTAAAGAAGATAAGTGCTCAAAGTTGAACCACGACCCCAGAACATTGAGACTGCGCAGAGTGGATGGCATTTGCGAGATACATTGTGCAACTGATGGAAAGTTGTGTTCGAAGTCCCATATCTTCAGCTCCTGAAGTGCTGGGAGATCGATTAACAAAAGTTCAGGTTGGACCGGATCTCTGAAAAATATAGAGAGAGAAGAGATTTGATTGATGTAGGGTTGAACAAGGCTTCGTAGCTTGACCGAGTCATCTGCGTCGCAGTTGAGTTGTAACGAGAGCCGACATCCTCGTGATCGCTTGAGCCATGAGTCGTAGCAGAAAGCTACCTTCTGCCAGTCACTGTTTTCTTTTACTTGCATATACAGCCTGCGCCATAAACCGGGTATACCTACAGCAACCTCCCTCCATTCTCGGCATACTTCTGTCAACAGCATGGGAGCTGTTGGGCTTGATGAAGGATACGAGGAAATGAAGTCTTCGGGAAGACAGTGGTCAAAAATTTGGGACAGGACTTCAGTTGGCAAGCGCCAGAGAGCCGATCCAAATCCCTTGTGCATGTTCATGGACTGGGTGATCCTGTCCTTCTTTTCAACGAGTTGCTGATGAAGATTCAATATGCCGTCCACCACGGTTTCCATGCCTGAAATCTCGTGCAAAACTGCATCCAACTGTTTCTGGCGCTCATTGATGATGGCGCTGATGTGGTCTTGGTGAATGGTAGACTGATCGGTATTGGGGAAACTGGAATATGGGGTTTCAAGATCTGGAATCTGGTCATCATCAATAAAATAACGTCTGACATATATCAGAAGGGACATACGGTCACTTGTGAACACGCGAGCTGAAGCGAATGAACATTATTATATGCAGACACGAGTGCCTATAAAACTGGGCACTTACGATGTTTTGCAGTGCATCGATTATGTCCAAGATCGGGGAGAAATTTGCTTCTGAATTTTCTGTCGTCATCTCGATTGCCTGCATGTTAACGTTTGCTATACCTATGTAGCGCGATGGATAAGCTTTGAAGACGATTTAATGCTCCCACGGTTACTGTGGTAGTTCGAGAGCTAGAGGCTGAACACAAGTCACACTATGACCCTACCACACATTTCCTTCTATCTAAGTCTAATGGCGGACTTCCACACCTCGTTATGACGCGTTGCACAGGTAGGTTGCGAACGGAAGAATGCTTTGCCTAAGCGAATGATGATGAAAGAATACCCTCCGGGTATTCTCATCACAAACCCCGCCACAGACCTCCTTTGTTTAAGCCGAACGGCATACTTCCTTGTCTTGTCGTGGCGTATCGAAAGAAAACGCAGGTCGCGAACGGAAGAACGCTTTGGCTAACTACACGACACACAAAACGACACGATAAGATAAGATACGATGATGATACGAAGGTCTTTGCGAGTGAGTCTGTGAAGTGGTCTGATAATCGAGCTCCCCAGAGATATAAAGGCCCTACTCCCTGCATCGATTTACACTCAACACCCCAAATAACAATTGCCATGACGCCGTTTGCGTATCCCGACGCGCCTGTCGTCACTGGGGATACTAGTAGTATCCCCACCCTGTCTAACCGGCTACGCACCCATATCTCGTTGCCGAGGGCTCCCCTGATGTCGAAGGTAATCCTTCAGTGCTAGCCTCATTTTTCGCATGTTCTATTCACTTTGTTCCCAACATAGACGTTGAGAAACGTGCCGGGCAGTATTCGTCTGCGGGAGAGCAGTATTCGGTTGGGGGAGGGCAGTGAAGTTCGACTTTCCTCAGCACAAATTAGTCCAGTAGCCATTTTATTATCACTATCACTTACACTCGTCTAATCACAAGGGCTTTGTCCGTTTCTCCCTAACTCTCCTACGTATGAAGTCTGCTCATACACGGCCAAGGCTTCTGTAACAAGAGTGTTTTTGCTAAGAATTTTAATGGACAGGAAAGGAAATTTTGCTTATGTGCGCGCAAGCTAATTGGCCGAGGGCCTTCGTATCATACTTGGCAAAAACACTCTAATGTCTCCCAAATGGTTTTTACCTGGCCTATGACGCTACAGTCATTCACGCGACAGTCATTCACGCGATCAGATTTTGTCTTTCAGTCCAAGTCGTATCCTCATGTACTTTACTCTTCGCCACTGTGGAGCAGCGATGTTCTGATGCTGCGGTTCTTCGCCCGGGCCCCCTTTCTACCGTGAGTGACCAATGCATTCTGATATTCCTGTTAGTAAACTTGGACGTTCCCTGTATATAGAGTGAGCAAGAAATAGTTTCTTCCGATCCCGTCCGTGTATAGTAATAACAAGGTGCGACTCTGCGAGCGCCTTCCTCCGGAACTGACCGTCGACGAGAATAGAATTACGTACCTAACGGAGAAAGTCAAAAACGACGTCATATGAACACCAAGTTACATAATCCCGTGGCTGCGAGGAAAGAAATATCTGCTCGTTCATTTCGCTTTTTTTCAACCCAATCACAACCAGAGACAAAAAAAACTGCTCCGCATATTGCATAAATGGATAAGACCGGGTACGTTGCACGTGATCCGAAATGGATAGAATCTGTCATTGTCGAGACTCAATTGGACGCGACGACATCGCGATGTGCTTCTGTCCCTTTCCTGAGGCAAAAACCGGAAAGTCATGATGTGCACAGAGAGCAGTAGGCCCACATATTATCAGCTGATGATGTTTCCCGATTGCAGTAGGACTGCTTACGCCCAAGGCGTCCTCCTGGTATAAAGATCCTGGACTTTCGACAATGAAAAGACCCATTCTCCATCCATCCTTTCACAACCAACTATACAACTTTCTTCAGTCCAAAAACTAGTCATGAAGGTGACGATGCACCCCCCTGTCATCGAATTCAAAGATCTGACGTGCCTTTAGATTATCGCTATTCTTTACAAGGGCGGTGATGCTGCTACGAGCGAGCCCCGTCTCCTCGGTGCTGTGGAGAACCAGGCTCGTATTGTCTCGGATGATAGATTATCTACAACTTGCTTACTTTCAACTTTCTATACAGCTCGGTATTCGCAAGTGGCTTGAGTCTCAAGGCCACGAGTTCATCGTATGTGTCGATGTTCCTCTTGCTTGTTCAGTTGCTCAATCCATCCACATGTGTAGGTGTCCGACTCCAAGGAGGGCCCTGACAGCGACTTCCAGAAGCACATCGTTGATGTATGCCCACTACTGTATCTCTATATATATACCCGGATACTGATTTCTGTCTTAGGCTGAGATCTTGATCACGACCCCATTCCACCCCGGGTACCTCACTGCAGAGTTGGTCGAGAAGGTATGTTGATCATATTTCTAGATCGAGTCATTGATATTCAACGGTTCATACTCCTGACAGGCCAAGAATCTTAAGCTCTGTGTCACCGCTGGTGTTGGCTCTGACCACATTGACCTCAACGCCGCTGTCAAACGTGGCATTCAAGTCCTGGAGGTTTCAGGCTCCAATGTCGTCTCCGTCGCTGAGCATGTTGTGATGTCTATCCTCTTGCTCGTTAGGAACTTTGTTCCAGCACATGAGGTATGACGATCCGCTGGCGCGCGCTTCCCTCTGTTGATTTCTCGCCATCCTTAGATGATCGAGCGTGGAGACTGGATGGTCTCTGATATTGCTCGCAACGCCTTCGATCTCGAGGGCAAGGTCATTGGCACCATTGGTGCTGGTCGTATCGGTTACCGCGTCCTCCAGCGTTTGATGCCCTTCGACTGCAAGGAGCTCATCTACTATGATTACGCTCCCCTGCCTGAAGGTTCGTACTCTATACTCGGTCATCTCCAGCTTGACTGATGCAATTACAGCTGCTGCTAAGGCCGTCAATGCTCGTCGCGTCGAGGACCTCAAGGAGTTCGTCTCGCAGTGCGACGTTGTCACTGTAAACTGCCCCCTGCACGAGGGTACAATTGGTCTTGTCAACGCTGAGCTCCTCAAGCACTTCAAGAAGGGTGCATGGATCGTCAACACCGCTCGTGGTGCCATCTGTGACAAGGACGCTGTAGCTGCTGCTCTTGCAAGTGGTCACCTGAAACGGTTCGTGACCCCACTACGTGATATCTGTATATCGAGTTAACATGACGATAGGTTACGCCGGCGATGTTTGGGACGTCCAGCCCGCACCTAAAGACCACGTCTTGCGCACGGCTAAGAACGTCCTTGGCGGTGGTAACGGCATGGTACCTCACTATTCTGGTACCACTCTCGATGCTCAGGCTCGTTATGCAAACGGCACCAAGAGCATCATCGAGAACTACCTTTCTGGCAAGCCCCAGGAGCCTCAAAACATCATTGTTGGTGTTGGCAAGTTCGAGACCAAGGCTTGTGAGTACCTATTTAGACCTTTCGGTCGTTGGTCTTTTCTGACATGTTTTTGTAGACGGTCAGCGTTGAAGTGCAGACGTGTCTGCCTGATATCATCATCAATATGTACACAAAATAGATATGGATTTGTATGTCTATGGAAAGAATATCGAACAAGGATGTACGATAGTTGAAAATAATACGATGAAACGTTCATATGAAGTCTAGTTCACTTGCTGGAGACTGCAGATTTGAGACAGAAACAGAGCAAACCTTTCAAACAATTCCATCAGCCTGCATATCTGACAGTTCGCTGCTCACGCGAGAGTGCGACTTCTATTTTTGGATGAGTACAAATAAGGGACAACATAGTGAAGGAGAATTTGACTCTCATGCAGGCTCAGCCTTGACTGTGACAGGACACTTCGGTCACCCCTCTCAAGGTACCTCTTAGGTACCTATATTCTGGCTTAGAAACCTGTTGAGCTCTGACGAGTCGGGAGGGACGGAAGACGAACCGAAGAGGAAGTTAGCGATGTCAGAGTGAGACATAACGAGCGCAACCCAGCTGAACGACGAGGCGACGCAATGACGTTGGCTGAGGCTCGTCATTATTGGACTACTTATTTCTATGATATTTCTATGACATCCATTATTTAGCATATCCATACTAACTACGTATAAAGCTACGAGTCTGGCATTCAGGGATCTCAGTTTCTAACAGATACTGAGATGTAAGCCATTATATTTTCCCTTATTATACAAAGTGCTAACGAGACGTAGAATACATTCTCTATCAGGTACTATAGCTGTGCTACGAGTTTCTAACAGATACTGAGATAATACATTCTCTATCAGCTCTTACTCTGTTCCCGCTCGCCTGTGATCACCACAAAACCCACCTAAGGGGTATGATTTTAGATGGTATTCCCATGCAATATAGGTTGCAACCCAGGCCATCCCAATACTTTCCCTAGGGCACCTGGGCCAACTGGGCCAATGTATTCAGTCTGTCCCATGACCCAAGTAGGCTATCCCAAGCAGCAATTTTAAGGGTTATCCCAGTATCAGCTAGGGTGTCAGGGGTCCATCTCTACAAAAGACACACTTCACTTCTCTTGAAAACAAGGTGGTCCTGTTGGCTGTGACGTCTCGGGTTTCTCCATTTCGGTCGATGACATGAGTGTCGGGACGTCTTCTTGCCTTCGATCTCGGTGAGGCGCAGACCCCTGGAACTGCTTATTCGGACGTTCTCCTCGATCCACAGCTGATTGCATTCTGCCATACATTTTTCGCTGTGAACACAAGTGCTGACCGAGCTCTCACTATCAGATATTGATCCCCCTCGCTCTCCACAGCGAGATTGCACCATTCGACTTGAATGAGTTGTTTGAGTCGAACTCGGGCGCCACCAGCCCCTCTGCCGACCCCGACTTGCAAGGACACCTGAGCATGGGCGGTGCCCTCCTCCTGGCCTTCACATTCATTTCCATCAGCCTCCTGGTCACCTACCATTGGTGGAGGCCGAAGATCCCCATCAATTTGTTTTTCGGCTGGTGCCCCTGCTTTATTCCCATCCGTCGTGGCAGCAGCAGGTCCAGGTTCAAAATGACCTCCCTCCCTCCCACTCTCGACACTTGCATTACCACCACTGCTGCCACAGCAGGCTCCACCACCTCCGACCGCAACTCGTTTTAGAGTTCCGATGCTGGGCCACCACTACAATCTGCTGAGTGTGTCAGCAGCATCCAGGACTCGCCCAGGACTGATGGGTCCCTGCCCTTCCCTCTTCACTTTCGAGCAGATGGAGAGCCTGAGATCGAGCACATTTCAGTGTGAGCCATCTTCCCCTTTGTTTTCTCCTTGCTTTGGGCGCTGATCCTCCCATCTGGGCACACAGCTATGGTATGACCATGAAGACACTCAAGCAAAAATGCAACCAGCTAGGCCTCAGCTCCACTGGAATGAAGGCAGTCCTCTGCGAGTGACTGGAGTCATTCAGTGCTGACCACAATGTGTGGGACAGGTGAGTGGAAAATGTTCCACTTTTGATGCTCTCAGAAGCTCAACCATATAATCAAGGCTCCGTCCAGGTGCTTGCAAGGCCCACAAAGGCCTGTGAGCTGGCCGCTCTACAGGCAAACCGAGGGCAACCCACCTGAAGCAGTCCATGCAGCGATGCACTCAGTTGCTCGGCTTGATGACTTCTTTGGACAGCATGCCTGTCATTGTCAGCTGTTCGAAAGACACACAGACTGCAGCTGAAAGGGATGCACTGATCCCATGGGTAAGTCTCTCCTTTTCGATCTGCCAGGAAAGGTGGGACTGAACCTGATGCCACTGCCTTGCAGGCCATTGCCATCGACGATCAGTACCCATACCAGCTAACTGACGGCATGGTCCTGCTGACGACCAACCTCACCCCTCCAGCTGGTGACCACACTCCTGCCAGTGCTGCTGGTGTCCCTGATGCACTCTTGGCAGATGCCATCATCCACAATTTCAGCACAAGGCTGCTCGGCATAGTTCAAGGTCATCTGAATCAGTCAAGAACTAGTGGACTGCCTGCTGGACCTGCTGCCGATGCGGAACTTGAGATGGTATGCTATGTTCCTCCTGTTGGCTGTGGGCTGCTAATTATTCTATTATTTGATTTTTCAGTGCAATGCTGCCAGCTCTGAGTCGCCCTCCGCAACTGGCTGCATGCCAGCAGTGCCTGCAGCAGAGTCCAATGATGGCAAGGCATGCATCCTTGTGCTTGGAGATGGCACTGAGCTGCATGTCGGAGAACATGGAATTCTGGACCCCCCTGCCATCAGCTTCATGAATGACATTGAGAGGCTTAATGCCATGTGGGACGACCACACAGACCATTGGAAGGACAGGTCCATCATCACGATTCAAGGGCACCCAATTGCCATCAAGCACTGGCCCTTGCTCTATCAATATTGCCACAACAGCCAGTGGAAGGGCACAAAGAACAAATGGTCCAAATGGCAGGTATGTATGTTTGATGATAAATCCTGCTGGTCTGATCCATACTCCCTTACTAGGCTGTTGTCATGCGCTATCGGCAAGGCAGTCCGCAGGAGTTTTGGACAGAGTTCAGTAGCATGAAGGGTGAGCAATTGAAGTTCACGGCCATTGTAGACAAACTTCGCGGCGAGTGCATGGCAGCTGACGCTGCTCTCACACAGCGTGCACATGAGGAATTCCATGCTGAGTTCAGTGATTTGTTGACTTACCATCGTGGAGGAGAGCAGCATGTCACGAGCAAACCTTCAGCAATTGTGAAAAGGTACAGGGCACTTGCTGCTAGTAGGTAGATAGTCTAGTGCACCTGTCTGTGAAAAATACAGCCACTGTGTCTTCTGCAGTCGGTCAGAATTCAAATAAGAGGGGCCAACACTGTAAATAAGGGGCTCTTGCTTCATCTCTTCCACCTCCCCCACTTCAATTCAAACACAGGTAAAAGTACTCAGATCTTGTTCCATGAGTGCCACATCATACTTATTGTCGTCAGTATAGAATCCACGCACACTATGTCAACGCCAGTCAAAAACCACACCACAGTGATGGGGAGCGGTCCTGACCCAAGCCCAGAGCCTGAAATGGACTTTGAGATACATGACAGTGATATCAGACATTTTGCACAGCTCGGCTTTGCACTGTCTGTCAAAGAGCTTGCAAAGCGACACAGATTTCATGAGGACACCATCCAGAGTGTTTATGCACAGCTGAACAACTATGCCAAGGCAATGGAAGTCATTGAGGAGATGCAGGATGCCGCAGAGGAGCGAGCAGTGGCTGTGATATTGAAGAGGAAGGAGGACATCAAGGAAGAAGAGGAGTAAACAGTCCATGATGGTCATTACTGCACTACTTATGTTACTATACAAATCACGCAACTTGGATATACTCCCTATGATGCCCTTCCTGCAGTGTTCTCGAGCTTAGCTACCTTCACCTTCTCATCAGTGTACTACAGGATTCGGAGGAGGCACAGATGTACCCGTGTTCAAGGGTGATCACCCTTGAATGCATCAATGATCACCCATCTCAATGAGAGGAAGGCCAAGAGCATGACAGAAATATGTTTCCGTTCCTGAACACCTCGTGACAGCACAAGAAAAACAGATGTGTTTGAGTGACATCAATTATTGATGTAATACTGTACAGTGCAAAAAAACAAAGTTCAGCCACATGGACAGCACCTCCCACAGTGCGGACACTTGACAGCAGGAGGCCTATCAGGGTTGAAAAAATGCTGGCATGGTTCAACTGGGTCATCATTTGATGAGATAAGGTACTTAACTATGGTCAAGTTGAAAAATTCAGCACTCCAGCTGTCATGAATGTTACCAACTGCACCTAAATTTCGATTATCAAACCCTAAGTCACCTTATCCGATAAGATTAGATTAGATAGATCCCTGATAAGATAAGATGGATAACCGATTAACGATCACTATCTTGAATTCACATCTACTCTATATCGATGTCATCCATCTATATCTGTAACCCTAGATAACCGAACTCATCATATCCTTAGAAGTCCTACGATTAGGCAACGGGTTACATCATAAGCATCTACATGCCTCTATGATCGAACCATAACCGAGAGTACCTTACGAGCTATCTCTCAAAGAGTCATCATCCCTCATCATCGCACACCTTCACTTCTCATGACATGTTAAGAGTTACCTCTGTCATTCACCGAACCCCTTACATAAGAACCTGTTGCACAGTCACAGCAGAACCCTGAACCCCTATCACAGAAGTACTGCTCATAGAGAAGCATACTCATTACCGAAGACCCTGGAGAAACCCTTAGATCCGATCGTACCCGATACATCTCCAGATCCAGGTTCCATCTAGATCCTAGATCTAGATTCCAGATCCTATCTCTTATCGAGATCCTTAATTACCGCTCGAGACTTCTTGTCACAGAACTCTCTCACACCCTTCTTAATCTCCGTCCACCCTGAATAGAAGCAGTCCCTGAGAACCCTGCTTAATCACCGATACCCTTGGCCCTATGAACCCTTTACCCTTCTCTTCTTGTAGTTGATTGGTTGATAAGACGCCCTATACCCTAGGTGCAATGTTATGACCGTATATAGTTATATCACATACCTTTCATACTCAGATAACTCCGCCCCAATAGTAGTATATAGTCTAGGTAGTAGTCAGTAGTACTCCTTAGACTTAACCTCCTCGTTTCTACGTCATCGTAGGGCCTAGACGTTCCTCTCAATACCATCCTCGCTTTACTCTCTACAGACTGAGTCCTGTGGTGTGATCTAGACTCCAGACACCTACTAGTTAGGTTAAGGGACGCTGGTCATAACATTAGCCCCCCCACTCGCAAATCTTCCTAAGTGGCCAGCACCTCTTGATGTGGAGGTATTGGCAGCCTCCTCGTTGGAATGAGTGGGTGCCATAAGGCACTGGACCAATGCCGATGTCCAGCAGATTGTTGTGAAAGAGTTCCAAGAATTGTTCTGATGACTGTAAGTGTTCATCAACACCTTTCCAGCCAGATGGTACACAGCCAGGACTCACCATTGGGGCATCAGCCTCTGCTATCCGGTCACCGGAGGATATTTTGCGAAAAATATAGCCAGACTTGATGTCGGACTCACGCAACCAGGCTGAGAGTGCCCTGACAGGGCAGATGTGGGCCTCGTGTGGCGGAAGGACCCACAAGTGGAATGGTTTGATTTCTGGGTGGTAGTTAGACATGTATATAGAAAGAAAAAATCAATCTCAGGCTGCCACGAACCTCCACTCTGATGAGTCTTGCGGAAAGGAAGGTGGAGGATCACCTGGTCCCCCATCACTTGAAGGTCATGAGCCTGAATCTTGAGGACCTCATCGAAGTGCAGCATACATATGAATGCTAGGGTGTATGCAGCCTGCAGAAGCCTCCGAGCACAGCCACCACCCCAGCAGTCCAATGACCCGTGCTCACCAGGCTGGTATGCACGGATGGTCCAGTTTTGAGGGAGGTGGTTGTGATGGTAGAGCTTGAGTAGACCATCCTGCGAGGCATTTAGTATTATGAATGTTTGATTGAACAAAGCATGAACTACTCACTGTTGTTGTGGCACGTGCACTGTTTGCCACTTTGCCAGCCTTGACCTGTCCGTGGGTTGAGCAAACTCATCAGGAAGAGGGACACCGAAGCTGACCTTGCGACGACATAGGGAGCACATGAAGGAGGACACCTCGACAGAAATCGAGGGATTGCCTACCATGATACCACCTCCAGCATCAGATTCATGCCATGGCATGTTGCTGAGGCCCTGGAGCCTACCAAACATGTACGTCATTGCCGCACGCATCTTCTGAGCATGGCTGTACGTCCCATGCTCCTCGCTTGATGGTTTTGGTGAGCCATCAATGTTGGTCAAGTTGCACGAGTTCATGATCCAGGCCATGATGAGCCATGGCACATCAGCACGTGGTTGTTTGCAAAAAAAAAATTCATCTTTGCACAGCAGGTGCATGCTGGCAAGGAAAGCAAGCAAGGCATTCATTAACCTAAGTACCAACAGCGACACTGTCAGAATCATGAGGGACAATGCAAACGGACACACAAACCTCTTGTATTCCGCATCGGTGCCTTTGGTGACACCCTTGGATGCATCCATGAGGGTGGACTGCAGCTTGGTGAAGTCCAGTGCATTTTCACTCATCTCAACCAGGGTTTTCTGCTCAGCCACGACATCTTCGGCGATGTCGTCCATTTCAAGGCTGCTGGTTGAAGCAGATGGAAGGACAGACACTGCTAAGGCCTGGAAAATGCTCTATGGACTTGGTGACAGCAGACATCATGGTAGGTGGTGTAAGAGGGAGAACGGACTATGGGGCCCCCCTTGAGGCTGAAATTTGAAATTGGGCTGTGAGCTTGAAACACGATGGTGAGTTCAAGAACTTGAGGGATGAAGGCCTGAAGGGGGATGAAGGCATGATAGCTGAGAAGCCAAGCCAGCAGCTGGATCATCTGTTGACAAATGCAGGACCGTGTTAGTGCCCATCAGGACAGTCATTTTCCGGTGGGGGGCAGCCTCTGCTGCACCAAACCTCCCTACGTTTTGCAGGGAGGTGCACCCATTCACTAGGTGTTTCTTTGGTGAAAAAAGACGATCTAACCTGTGTGACATTGTGAATTGCAGCCCTACGAGAATCATGACTCACTGTCACGAGTTCCATGTACAAATCATTTTTCTTACCTTAACGTCGCATCTAAGTCTAAGCGCCCGAGCCACATGACTACTTCACCTCTTCACACCCATCACATATCACCCTGCATTCCGATCACCAGTCACAGAAGCTCCAGTACCCTACGCCCATATTGCACCCTTCACATCGCCGATAGCATCTCCGATCAACATAACGATCGATCTTCCATCTGAGGGCTCTCCCACTCCACGAGCTAGAACCATAGCACTTCCTATCGCTGCACCTATTGGATCTTGGATCTCTATCTGAGATAGATCTTCTATTTAATCTCCATCTCTTCTCTTCTATTCAGATGCGATCTCTTATCAGAACCTATGATCCAAACCCTTATGCCTGAAGCTTCTATTCTCGCCTTCCTGTTTAGTGATTGCCTATTCTGTCTTGGTCCGTGCATAGTTCTCATAGTATATAAACCCTAGTCGGTAGTCAGTAGTTCTTTAGTGTAAACCTCTTGTACTTTCCGTAGAGAATCTACTTGACGTCTATCGCTCCTTCCCCTCCGTGTGAGCTCTAGACTTAACCTCTTCGGACACTTGTCCTTAGTGGCCATCGTCGTGACTCTCTCTCTCTTTCCTCTTGTTTGTTGTTTGAGTCCTGGTCTGATTGCTTGAGACTATAAATTGTCGAGAGTCATCACACTCACCAGAGCAGCTGCAATAGCAAGCGATCATTGAGTGATCGTGTACTAAGTCTTAGCCATTGACAATATATTAGTGCATGGTGAGGTTAAGATTGAAGCCAATGTACCTTTTCAATCCAGCAGTTTGCCAGATTGCCCAATCCCAGTGGAGGCCTCCCAGTGGATCCAATCAGAGGTGTTGCCTCGAGACGGGCCTGGGAAGGATGAAACTTCACGGGTTGGGGATCTGCAGAAGGAGGGAAGGCAGTTGATGGCACACACAAGCTTGCGGGTATATCATGCAGGACCCATGCTGCAAACGCTGCTCTCTTTCCTCCCATCAGAAATCTACCACAGTCCTTTCCAAAGAGCTTACCATTTCCGCAACAAGACTGCGCACTCCTTTAAAACTTGGTTAGGTAAATTGTGATGCCCTCGGTGAGTGACAACCAATGTACCTCCTCAATTTTCTCGCCCTTTCCCGCATTTTGTTTCCGTGCTGTGCAGCGTGTCACTTTCCACTTGTCCAATGTGAGCCTTGGGCTTATTTAAGCACACTCAACTGCTCTCATTTGAGGCCAGCCGCAATTGACAACTTTGCCAAGGGTCAATGCCTGCTCAAGGGGGATTGGATCATCAGAGGGTGTCTGATGTCCTCTCGTCGAGCTGATCGCTTGTATGTGGATCAGGGTTATGAAGGGCATGTCACAAACAGTCACTTCATGACTGTTCATGACCCGACCATCGTTTTTTGGGGTTGAAAGTATACTTCTACTACTAGTATTGTCACTATTGTGTATGCCATCAAGTGTACATTATATACTATCAATGTATTGAATAGCCATCCAGTCATTAAATATATTGTGGCAGAACCTACAGAGCAAAACCTTTGACTGTTGGCAACCTATATTGTATTGACAGAGCCCAATGTGACATGTGATAGTTGCCTATTTTTGACACTGACACCTAGTGCTGCCATGGTCCAGTTCAATCCAGTGCAAAATACAACTTTACACTGCAACACAAACTGGGGAAGGTTAACAACACTGCTGATGCTCTGTCCAGGAGGCCAGACCACAGGGGGGGGGGGGGGGGTAGAAAATGACAATTCCAATCACGTGCTTTTGAAACCCGAGTTTTTCCACATCAAAGCTGCAAAAAGAGGTCAGATTCTGATAGAAGGAGAAAAATCACTATTGAAGTGTATCAGAAACTGCACTGACTTAGATCTGGAAGTCCGAAATGCTATCAAAACCCTTAAGAAAGCTCCTGTACAGTTGAGGAAAGGACTAGAGGAGTGGAATACAGAGGATGGACTTATCCTATTCAGAGGACTGGTTTATGTTCCCAATAATAAGGAAATACATTGCTCAGTGTTAGAGATCTTCCACAACTCGCCTGCAGCAGGACATAGGGGACATGCCAAAACCCTCAAATTGGTTTCCCATAATTATTGGTGGCCCCAAATGCAGAAGTGGGTCAATGACTACGTAGATGGATGTGATCAATGCAAGCAGACAAAGGTGTTACTATCTAAACCCCACAGACCCTTGAAGCCAAACAAAATCCCAGAAGGTCCCTGGCAAACCATTAGTTGTGACCTTATCATTGATCTACCCATCTCCCAGGGCAAGTACAGTATCCTAGTAGTTGTTGATCATTTCATGAAGCAAGCACACCTTGCTCCTACCAACAAGGACATTACTTCTAACGGAATTACGGACTTATTTCTCAAACACGTGTGGAAATTACATGGAACACCAAAGAAGGTGATTTCCAATAGGGGAACACAATTTGTGTCAAAGTTTATGCAGGAAGTTTCAAAGAGACTAGGAACCAAGTGGTCCATGTCAACAGTGTATCATCCTCAGACTGACGGAAAAACTGAACAAGTCAATCAAGAAGTAGAACAATATCTTCGACTCTTCACGTCTTATCATCAAAATGACTGGGTATTATGGCTTCCCATTGCAGAATTCACACATAACAATTCCATAACAACTACTGGACATTCTCCCTTCAAAACTCTCTATGGCTATAACCCTGAATTCGTCATTTCTCCCAACTCCTCCAATACAGTTCCTCAAGCCAATGAGAGAGTAGCTGAGATGAAAGAAGCGCAGAAAGAAGCGAAGGCAATGCTAGAAATAGCAAATGATCAAATGAAATGCTTCTATGATTATGGAGTAAAAACACACCCATTTTGGAAGTTGAACAGAAGGTCTGGTTAGATGCCAAGAATATCAAACAATGGCGCTAAAGTCAGAAGTTGTCGGATCACCACCTTGGCCCCTTCAAAATACTCGAGCGAATAGGTGAGCTAAACTACCGGATCAAATTACCCCAATCATATCAGATCCATCTGGTGTTTCATGTGGGATTACTCACTCTACACAAAACTTCCACACTAACACCTTGAGTTGCCCTGCTATGTCCACCTCCTGAAATTGTTCATACTGGAGAAGAATATGAAGTAGAAGCAGTAATATCCAGCCGAATATGGCAATGGAAACTGCAATACTTGACAAAATGGAAAGGATATCCATTGGAAGAAGTGACATGGGAAAAAGAAGAAAATCTGAAGAACTTCCCCAGATTAGTTAGCAAATTTTATGCCACACATCCTGACACTCCAAAATTGCACCAAATTGCCAGTTCTATTATTCCAATTCTTCAAACACCTGGTTTCCTTGAATGGCAACAAAAAAATATCCGACCATCTTATACATGTATTCATGAGGATGCTCATCCTAAAAAGGGAGTAATGTCACAAATTCCCAATATGAACCATTTTTCATTTCTTGGCTTTCCTCTGGTTACTTCTCATTCCCAAGCCAGTCACGTGATTTCACTTCCTGTCACATTTTCACCTCTTCACATATCACCCATTGTATCTCCAATTGGTTCCCCTACTCCACGGGCTAGAATGATCTCTCTGCTTATATATCACAATGTCATACTACATCATCTGCAGTTATCATACAACTCTTTTCTCATTGGCTGATTTGTTTTATACTCAGATATCTCTGATTCAATGTTATGTATATAAGTAGGTTAGTTAGCATAAATACTCCTTAGACTTAACCTCTTCATTCTCTACACTTGTAGTAGGCTTGGATGTTCACGCTCAATCCTATCTTTGCTCATTATCATCAACTGTGTGTCACGAATTCCTAATACAAATCATTTTTCATTTCTCAGTTTTCCTTCGGCTACTTCCAGTACCTGAACCGGTCACGTGACACCTTCACCTATCGCATCTCCGATTGGCTCCCCTACTCCATGAGCTAGAACAATCTTGCTTCCCAAAGAAGAACCAGTCGGATCTTGGGTTTCTGTTTAGTTGCCGTCTTACTCATCTGCTTATATATCATGATGTCATGCTCAGTCATCCACAGTATCGTACAACTCTTTTCTCATTGGCTGATTTCTTTCAGACTCAGATATCTCCTATTCAATGTTATGTATAAAAGTAGGTTAGTTAGCATAAGTACTCCTTAGACTTAACCTCTTCGTTCTCTACAGTTGTAGTAGACCTAGACGTTCACACTCAAATCTATCTTG